AATCTTCATTAAATTATTAGTAATTATATATTTTGTTAAATATTGATAATATTTTTATATAAATAACTAAAATTAATTACGAAGTTATTATTCATTTGTAGTATTGTCATATAAATATAAATTATCATAATCACTACAGAACTCCCGATCATGCTGCAACCTAACAACCGACTATACTCGCGTAACCATAGTAGAAATTATTCATTCGTTATTCAACTTTCATTATTTAATCTTCGTAATTATAGTTGTTATAAAAACTTAAAATTACTCATATTTATCATTAGTCATAATTATTTGTTATCATTATTAGTTGTTATAAAATTAAAATTACTGATATTTATTATTAGTAATTATTTTGTTATATTGATAATATTTTTATATAAACTACTATAAAATTAATTACCGAGTTATTATTTATTTGTAGTATTGTCATATAAATATAAATTATCATAATCGCTATAAGCTTCGGTATGGCGACGCCATCTTGTCGGCAACGTTCGGACTGGAATAATTCCAAATTCATTTGTTTCTACGCTTTCGTTTTCTTTTTTTTCTTTCTTTGTTTAGGTATGCAATCCATGCTTAAGATTCATCGAAGAACGCGTAATTGCGACATTTTAATAACTCGGCTTTCGAAAATGCTATTTTTTCGTATAAATAAAAATTTATTCGTTCGGTATTTAATTTTTGACATTCTCCTAGATGATTTGATTTACATTCATATTTATGTCGGTATTGACGACGCAGTTTCGGAGAAACAGTTTCGAAGCGAAATTACACTTTCGTTTGCATAAAATTAAGCGGCATGTGTTAGCGAGTTTCTATGGAGGAACAGGAGTTTTAAAAATCATTGTTTAAACATTCCGAAGCTTAAACGTAACGCACGATCGAAGTTGGGAGTCTTGCAGGTTTCACTCGACTCAAAAAGTCGACAAATTTTGCCTTTCCATCGGTTTTTACATTTTTCTTGTACGTATATGGAGAGTATATGCTTCGGTATGACGGCGCCATTTTGTCGGCAACATCCAGTACGAAATATTTCCAACGCTCCTATAGTCCATAGAATCCTATTATATATTGACAAAAGCCATTCAATTACGTGCAAACGAGAGTGCAATTTCGCTACGAATCTCTTTCTACGTAAACGTAAACGATAGCATCGATCTCGAAAAGTACGTAAAAGAAACGGTACAGATTAACGAAAAAATAAAAAATTACTTACCAAACAAGCAACTGTCCATTTGCGAAAAAACGCGAATTAATTGCCGAATTAATTCAAACTTTGATTTGTAAACTTTTTTACATTTATGTCGTTCGTTTAAGATTGTCGTTTAACGATTGTCTTCCTACATTCCACTGAAATTATAAAACGGTCGAATAAAAATTTTGGAAAATTCATTTAAAAAGCGAAAAAGGTAGACCCGTTACATCTTGCTATTGAAACAAAGTCTGAATAAATTTTGATTACAATGAGAGATTGGAGAAGGCTCGGTCTGTCGGTAATCCAAGAGCGACAAGAAAAACTAATTTAATAATGTGGAAACTTTAGAGTGATAAAACTTTTGCAATTCACATTTATTTGTTATTTATACTAGTTATTTATACTAGTATTTGTTACTTATACATTTATTTGGTATTTTCACGTTCGCGATTATTTTACAGTTTAAGTATTTTAAAATGAACAGCCAATTATTGTTATAAATTGAAACTGTGTGTAATAAAGATTGCGCGTGCTCTCGTTGATTATTAAAGAAAAATATTGAAATCCAATCTATCAATTCCAACCTTTTTTCTTGATAAAGGAAAGAAAGAGAAAGAAAATACACGCCATCGCTTAAAAATGAAACAATAATTTTGGAAATTGTATACAAACGTTGAATATAAAAATACGACGTAACGTGTGTTTGTTGCACGCTTGCGCCTTTGCGAGTAAGGCGTACTGGCGTAGCTGAAGTACCTTGTAACGTCTCAGCCCGCAATTCCGCGAGTGGTGAAATTCCGCATCGTTTACGAACGTTAGCGATGAAGGTAGTGGTGACGTTGGCTCTTTGCGGATTGTGCGTGCATTTCTTTAGTCGGTTGACTCATCTTCGAAACGTACGTACGGTTTAACGCGCAAACCATTTCTTCTCCCTCCGTTCATTTCTTTTCTCATTTTACAGTGACGTTGAATCTTTGTCGTCTGTCTACACGTATGTACAATTTGCTATGCATATGAAACAAAATGTCGAAAAACAAGATCAACGATTTTCCGAGTTTTTACAAAAATTCCAACCATTTTCGATGCAAAATTATCATCGAAATCAAGTTCCAGTGTAGTGACTCGTATAATAAATTGTCGTTTTGATATGCGATGATAACCAACAGTATGTCCATCGAGAAAGAAGAAACAAAGAAGTTTTTTAAAAGTGCATACCGCATGAAACTGACAACAGCAGTTTATGTTTTATTACTTGGGCTTGTAACGACAGTTACTTTTTGCACAGCGAAACAACTAGGTAAGTCTATATCGCAAGGAAAAAGTGTCACTTTAGAACGAGATGCAAAGTCTCAAAGATCGAAAGTTTTGTCAATTATCAACTATAATCGTGAAATGTAAACATTAGAGTTTGGATAATTAAATGTAAGTATTAGAGTTTGGATAATTAACAGTTAAAATATTAATATTGTCCTATTGTTACGAAATTATTAAAGATTCGTAAATCATGCGTGATTGGGTTATAAAAATAATATGGGTACCGTTATAATTATGACAAGCCGTTTTCGAAAAGGCGAAAAACAACGCGATGTCAATCTGACAAAAAGATATTTTCATATAACCGAATGCTTTCCTACCAACCACATTGTCAGATCGATAAAGTTGTCTGGGTACTTTCAAAAGCGGTTACCACTGTTATTGAACGTCCAGTAAAACCAAACTGAGCATGCGTCATAAAATAAATACTTACTAACACTTGGTAAATGACATAACCACACGATATGACATAACCAACAAACACGTGCTTTGTGTTTGCTCTTAATCTAAATCGGCAGGATTCTCTTCTCTACGAAAAGAAAGAGCCTAATGTCGCGACGCTGGTTAGGTTAATTGAGGGTGAATTATCTTTGTGATTATTGTGATTATTATTATTATTATTATTATTATTATTATTATTATTATCATCATCATCATCATCATCATCTCTTTTAATTCTAATTCGTACTTGTCGTAATATTGTTAATTATAATCTCATTGTAGATACCAACGGATTTCAAAGAGGTTGCAAACTTGAAGGATTACATCCATTTTTGATTGTTACCTACAAAAATATCACAATATCTGTAAGTTCTTGACTTTTTAATATTAGTCTTTTGAATATTTATTCTATTTTAACGTTTAATCTTACTGTCAGCCTCGGAGAAGTCAGTACTGAGAAGTTATTGAAACACGCGTCTCTGTTCTTAAATAGAACAAATACAATTGCGTGCAATGTTGTTACTAGGTAGACAAGATCACTGTACCACACGGGGAACAAGTGACGGTAAGATGCAGAGAACTTGGAAGATACAAGCTCGTCGGTGATTCTCTGTTGCATTGTCGTAATGCAAGTTGGAGTGGAAAACTACCTTCTTGTACTCCAACGACAGCGATTTCAAATTACACCGGTGAGCAACTGGATGCCATTTCTATTTTAATTCCTTCTTTTAACACCTTCTACGTAACTCGTTATTTATTCGTAATTTCTTAAAAAAGTAACGATAATTTATCGCAGAAATAGTAGGATAAAAACCATCGGATATATCGATAGTATGTGTGAAAATCGGAAATACGTATTATCAAATTCAAAGTTTGAATTGTCCGAAATTTTCTGGCAAATTCCTTTCCCATCGGGAGACGAGACGAAATCCCGTTCCATTTAATCTTTCTCCTCTCGTTGATTGTTCGAGGAGAAACAGAGGATGTACCGCCAACGATCGTGTTTGGATTACCGGCGGGTTCAGCTACCGTCGAGCCATCCGGTGCTCTCGCCGTTTTCCCCGGAAGTATCCTTCACCTGGAATGCCTATTCGCTAGGAAACTTGGTAATCCCGAATGGACTTGGACTTCGACGTTTCGCCAATACTTGACTGGTAAACGACTTTTTGTCGACACTTGCGCTATGGAGTAAAGTATCGTATAGTTATAAATAAATCATATTTAGAAATAAAAAAATTTCTAATATAACTTTTTAAATCCTTCTTTGACTTTCTTTGATTAAGAAATATGTGCAATCATGTTGATTATATTGTATCGACTATTCTTTGATAAATAATTGGAAGTAAAGATAGCGGAAATTTCCCGCAGAATAATATCTTGATTAATATTCCAACTGACTGCCTTTTCCACTATGAATTGTGACGCATTAACGACGCTGTGTCGAAAATTAACAAATGCAAAAATACAGGTGTAACCGCTGCAATAATTTTTTGAATAATTTAGGATGGGCGATTGCTGCTCGTGAGAGAGACTGGAAGTATCGATTATCGATATATTATGCGAAAATACAAGATTCAGGCATTTACACGTGTTCTACACCTCGTGGATTATCCAACTCCATACGTGTCCACGTTGTAGGTAAGTTTAGTTACGTTTCTCTCTTTCTGTTTTTCTTCTCTATCCTATTCTACAAAGAAAAAACACTTATAAACTAACGTTAGTTAATATACATCGAATAAATTGCGCTGAATGTCTAGCAGGCGAATCAGAAATACAATCGTTATTGCAGACGTTCAGTGTCCTGTTTTGAATCTACCTGAACCACCGTTAATTGGCAAAATCGAAGGTGCGCGTATGGGTCATGGAGCAACGTTCGAATGCCCTGTTGGGTTTGAATTGGAAGGCGCGGCTGGTATAACGTGTCAATATAATGGTAAGAAATTATGCATATGTATGTACAGTGCATATATGGTTGAACCAAATCGAAAACGGATAAAGAAATTGAAATAAACGATATCGGCAGTAAGTGATATTTTTTCAGGTAAATGGTCGGCCGAAATGCCGCAATGCAAAACGATCAAATGCCCATCTATAAACGCAACCGATACACGATTGGAACTTCTCGAACACAATAACACCTTTGGAGGTAGAGCAGTATTTGCTTGCATGTGGGGTCATCAATTATTAGGGTCGCAGAACATAGAGTGTCAAGGTGATGGTTCATGGAGCGGCAGTATGCCTAGTTGCGTAGGTAGGCATCGCAAATTCTGCTTTTGTTCTTTATTCGCATAAAACGTGTAATACGATTGATTTTCCAGAAATCATCTGTCCCACTCCGTTGATACCAAAGAGTGGTCGTATTATGGAACAAACAAATCATCATAATTCAGCAAGAAAGCAACATCAAACACGCATGTACAAAGTAGGCGCACTTGTTAGGTTTGCTTGCTTACCTGGTCATCAATTGTTAGGTGAGGCTTCGGTAATATGCACAGAGAACGGAACATGGTCTCACCCGCCACCGGTTTGTAAGTTTTTGATATGTGCGACAAAGTTTTTAGTCGAATGAATCTCTTTGATCCATTGCTAATAATACTTTCATATTTTTAGGTAAAGTGAGATGTCCTTACCCGGGTGATCCGCCTCACGGACGAATCGCACCTCTTAAATTTTGGTACAAACCAGGTGACAATATACAGGTAACAGATTTCATTTTCTTTGTTAATTTTTCTCTGTGTGTATATATAAATTCATATATACATGCATGTATGTACATATATATATAATTACATATAACATTACACACACACACACGCACACGCACACGCACACGCACACGCACACACACATATATATATATATATACAATAACAATTTTGTTACGTATTTATCATGTCGAATGTTTCACTTTTTTTTCTTCTTCATTTATCATGTTAATTACTTGGCAGGTAACTTGTTCGCCAGGATATGTAACACCATTGGAACCTGTAAGGAAGCCAACTTGCCGAGAAAATGGAATATGGAGTGCACCACCACCCCCTTGTAGGTCGTATAAAGATGTTTAGAGAGAAAAAGAATTGTTCAAAGAAATCTTATCGATAATAGCATATCGTATAATTACGTTACCGTTGTAAGACGCATATTAAGTACGAGTATCTATAAGGCACGATTGAATACCAATTCCATATCGCTCGATTAATGAATTATGCGGCGATTTAAATGATTCTATTGAAAACATGTATGATTTAGAGCCCAAACTGGCACATGTTTGATTAAAGACTAAATGACACATATCAACGAAGCATGATCGAATTTGTATGTATTTGAAATGGTTAATCGCCTAACCAATCGTTTTTATGTATATCACAGTTGGTGATGTATACAATATTTGATGCGATACCCAAACTTTTCATCAGACTGGTTAGCCACGGTTGATATATATATGTATGCAGATACCTAATGAAATCGGACATTTTTTTACTAATAAAGTATCATTATGATACAGATTACGAAATTAGGAAAACAAGAGGAACAACGATTGTCATTTAAAAGCAAGTGTAATAAAAAGAGGAAAGAATGAGAGTGAAAGAGAGAGAGTGAAAGTGAGAGAGAGAGAGCGCGCTTAAAATAAGGAACAGAATGCAGAGACGACAAAGATGCTAGAGAAAGAAGAATGAGGAAAAAAGGGGAGAGAATGTACGTTGATAATACATGTGCAATAAGTTTGAATGCGACATAGATTGTACAATGCCTAATTCTAACTCTTAGAAGTATATAGAATTTCACATTTTCCCTTTGTATGTGATACGTCTTTGTATGTAAAATAAAATTACGTTATTCTCTAAGATTGCGAGTCTTTGTCTCTCGTGCGTTGCAATTAACAAACTTGTTAAACTTTTAGTAGGTTATTTCTTTGTTTTTCAAAGATAACGTTTGTCATGTTACAAACGGTAACGTTTGAATCGATGCTATTCATTCTATCGGCTGTTTACTGACGAAATGTTACTTCAGAAACAAATTCCATTGACATTTCGTAGAATCAAAGATGTAAGATGGTCGATTAAAGATAAATTAGAACAATATCGTGGAATTCTTAAATTATATGGTAAGGGAATCTTTCGTGGTAGTCGCTTACATGATGGTCGATTTCTCAACGAAATAAATTATTTATATTTTCACGTTATAATACAATTGTTGACCGTTGATTGCAACTATTGTAAAATTTAGCACGTGAAAAGAAAATAAGATTGCAGGATGCTGCGAAATTGAAGAAGAAAATATCATGGCAGTTAAATATATACAAACGAGATATAAAGAATTATCGCCAAATTGTTAACGAAATAACGAAAGCAACTCCAAAAGGTCACGTATATAGTTTGTTACAAAGTCGCAAAAATTTAAGATTAAAGTATCACGGCCGAGAAACACAAGTAAGCGTTTTTCTCTCTCGTTTTGTTATTCCGCGACATTTCGTAACAGATCTGCTTCATCGTATAGCACATTTACGATTCTATTTACGAGGAAAATCATCGAAAACGCTGTCAATTAGATAAGCTTCGTTACGAGAAGAAACGAAAGATGAAACAATGTTTCGAGCTACAAGTACACACATTTTATCCAACAACCTACATATGTACCTAAGAAAGAATGAAATATACTCTATGCATGCGAGTGTATAATACGGTGTATATACGTGATAAAGGTAGAACATGCAGAATTGTGCAACATCTACAAGGAAGAAAAAGACGAACCATGGACTCTAGATCGAGCGCAACAAAGATTGGTGTCGCGATATCAAAAGTCTATTGCAAGACAAAATGCGGCAAAAGCGATTAATTTAACGTATACTTATATACTTGAAATCTTAAGAAAGGTACCCAAAAGTACTTCTATACTAATAAATTAGTCAACACCGTGCGATTATTTCTTTCGTTAGCTGATTGAAAATCATACTCGTAGGATGCGGTGTATCATGAAACCTTGTTGGATTCGTTGAATCAAAATCGTACGAGTCAATGTAAAGTGATACTTCGAACAACGATAATGGGTCAACTCGCAACCGAAGAAACGAATGACATCGAATTAAAGTACAAACGTATAGCGCAAAACGTTTGGAGCAACATGAAAGAGAGGGAACATATGCTGGCGTTTGTACGTGAACAAGTTGAAGACTTATGGTCGTTCGCGCAATCCCTCATTCGCACCGAAGCAAGTCAATAACTAAATAAGTTGTAATAAATAATTTAGTAAGAAATATCATATCTGATGAAAGTGAATGAAGAAAAGAAAGATGACAGACTAAACTTCTTTGTATATTCGCAACAGAGCGAAGCGATATTAACCACAGAAGTTATCCGTGCTGGAATTACATCGAACGAAGCATTAGAAAAACAGATAAGATCTTTGGAAGAAATATTCGGTAGAATCAAGAATTCGTTGCTCGTACATTCCTATCAAGAATTGCTCTTAAGGTTGGTACATTTATATATTATCGATAATTTCATATCGAAGGGAGTTACTTTCTGTCTGAAGATTTAGATTTGATTCCGATTGCGATTTAGAAGATTAATAATAAATTAATAACAAATTGAATTAATAATAATATTGTTAATTGTTAATAGTAAACTTAAAAAATATAATATATATTTCCTTGTTGCAAATTGTACTTTCTTTTCGAAACGCTCGTTTCTTTTACAAATTATCGTCAGGTTGGAAGAACAAATGAAGCAACGAACACGATTGCTGGAACAATTTAATCGCAACGTGAAAGAGCGCGATTCGTTGTTAAGTAAGAAAAATGAGGCATTATCCACTCTGTCTAATTTCGAGCATTCCCTTGTAGCTAGTGTAGAAGAGTAAGTGATGTGTGCCAAAGTTACTTCCAAAGTGTACACATTGCTGATATATACAGCTGTATTTTGAATGAATTTTCTTTTAGATATAACGCGGACAAGAATATTTTGCTAGAACAGATTGCGATGCAAAAGAAGCACGAGCTTGAGCGCAAAAATTTGAAGAAAGAACGAGGTGAATTACTGATGGACATAAGAGCAGCGTTGCAGAACATGGTAGCGATGTTGGTTTGTGTTAAAAGAGGTAATAGAATAGCAGCGAAAAAGCCAATAGAAGAATCCGAAAAACAATTCGACATACCAATGATAGAAAAGATGGAAGTAGAAGGTAGTGAAAAATGACAGAATAATTTCTGTTGCTCTTACCGATTTGTATCTTTTCCCAGGTTTAGCACTATTATCGACAGTTAGTCGGAAAGTAGGAGCGCTCTTTGGAATGAGTAATTTTGAATTTGACAAGGACAGAGAAGAAAAAGCGAAAGATCTGTATCAAACTTACGTTTCCAATTACCGCTCAACGATCAAGTTCAAAGATGCAGAGGTGGAACCAACAGGTCGTAATAATAGCGATTATCGAATACGGTACAACTGTCCCGTTCCATTTTATTGCAATAACGATATTCTTACGGCGTCCTTCCTTAGGTCTAATCGTTGAGCATGAAGCAATTGATCCTTCGGTACCAACGCGAGCAGAGATTAAATTAAAAAGTAAACAAGCCGTGGAAGCTTATTTAAGACTGGAGTGATGCCATTCTCTGTTTTAATTCCATCGTCGTAAAATGCAATTACAACGTCTACGTGTATATCTGAATAAAAAGCATGAAATCAATTTTTTTTTTTTTTATGTTTGTTTCGTACATATTTTCCTTTTATTTATTTGTACACAAGCTTCCTTTATTTATTTTACAACCGACTATAATTGTCTTAAACTCTTTTTCATGAAATATTTTATTTCAAATCATGAACTCGACCCCATCCTAAACGTTCCTTCTTCGTTTGTACTCTCAACCAAGAAGGTGCTTTTAAATCGAGAATGCACGCATTGGGATATTTGAGAGGCGGCTTTGGCTCTTTAAATGGATGAACAGTTTTCAATTTCCTTAACAAATATTCTTTCATTGTATCTTTGGGATCTCTGTACTTGTCTAAATAAAGATTAAATGGTTGTCTCAATGGAAACCATGTCTGTGATCTAACATGTGGTTCTGGAAAGTCGTACTGAAATATTGGCTCTTTTGCATCTGAAAATAAGTAAATAAATAAATAAATAAATATACGCGCGCGCGCGCGTGTGTGTGTGTGTGTGTAAACATACATAAGAAATAGTGAATTCAACTACACATACTTAGTACAGAATGATAAAACTCTCTCACTGTGGAATCCCAATCACTTTGAAAGAATGCTAATCCAGCTGGTGTTAGATAATCTTGATATTTACGATAAAACTCCAATGTATTCCAATTACGTTCTTTTAATTGTAAGCTAAAACATGAGTATACGATTTAAATGAAATGTAACGATATGACAGAATCATGTGTTATACGATTCATCTATTGCAATTTCTTACTTACCAAGGTTGAATTCTCCTGTATTCCATATAATCTAAACGCTGATTTTGTTTGTAAAGAATAAATATGTAACGGTAATATCCTACTCCTCTAGTTGGAATTGGTCTCAAATAGTCTATTATTTGTTCACCCTGTTCTACTTTGTTCCCTGGAATATTTCCTCTAAATGAAAAGAAGAGTGATTATATATTAATTCTATAGATTAAGTTGCACAGATAATAAACATTTTGCCCACTCACAAAAACCAGTGACAATATTCGCTGTTCGAATTCTCCAAATTACCATCTGGTGTGCACATTACCAATGTCCATAAAGTATCGTCTTGGGCTTTATACCCGACATTTGGCAATTCGCGTGCCTCCGCAGGTTTTATTACATTTCCTGTGTAAACTTTGACTAAAGTATCGTTGTTATTTATGCTGTAATTAATTTCAAGGGGTATAATAGGAAAAAAGAAAGCATTTCCAAATAAATCTTGAAAAATGCTATAATGATCGGCAATTCTTCGAATATTATATGGACTGATCGTTTCTAACCAAATCTTTCTTACTTCTTCCAAATTCAGAGGCACTATAAAATACGTATAATGCACCGTTACAAAGCAAATATTGCATGTCGCAAATATTGTATCTCGATCGGATATTCGTGACTTACACTTTCCGCTCCTTACTTCTTTCTCAAAATTCACGTCGGCTCGTTTGATTTTTCGTTCAGCCATCCAAGCTTCTTTTTTTTCTGACGAGAGCCTCGGGACTAAAAAACCTATATTTACTTTCATTGGATTGGGTTCTTTCATCACTAAAAAAGAGATAAGAAAGAATTTCATTAAACGGGATCGTCGATGCAAAAAGCAAATACATTTTTCTCACGTTCGAGTCTTTGCTGTAAAGTGAGAGCAATATTGGGTGGTTTTCCTCGAAGACGATGTCCATGTCGAATTTGTTCGACATGAATTTTCAAGCGTGAAGATATATCTTTGATAAAACTTCGTAAAGCTGGATTTGCCATAACTTTTGTAGCTTTAAACACACACCAATATCTCTACAACAAAACAACATTTGGAAATGTTTGTTAAAAGTGTCACTAAAGAATAAAGCGTGATTAAAATAGAACGTTTTATCAATTTTATTATTTATTAACAAGTCGTTTTATGTCCACTTCAGGACAACTGCAAATCGTGATTGCTATTAATACAAACAGTCGGATTTTATTCGATAATATAAAGTATAACATGGATTGAAACGTCACCTATGATATATTCGTATGTACAAGATATATTTATTTTATGGAGAATTGAATAAGGTTTAGTTTAATTAATTGATCACAACGAACTCAAATCATCGACCATTTTTAAAGGTTAAGTTAAAATCGAAGCAAACGTCTATTTGTAGGTTATGTTGTAGGATGTCCATAATTTTAACGTGAGTTTACAATGCGGAAAGTCCAAGAGGTGTGTGCTGCCCCCGTACGAGCGTTAACGTACCTATATCCATACGTCGGCATCTGAACGAGGAGATCATTGAAAATTTCTCGTTCATACCAGTTCGAATATGGCAGACTGGCATTGGCAGGTAGTAGTTTCGAAGTTTAGGATTTATCGTGAATGTACAAGTTTTAATGCCGGTGAATAAACAATATGAATCGCAACGCGTTTTATTCAAAAGATATGTGCATAGTAGAAATAAGAAAGCTGAAACGAGCGAAATTTCATCGAATTGATCTTTCACACGGGTAAGCGAAACAATGTTCATTTTGATTCAGCCGTGGTTTTTGGTTCGTGATCTCCCTAAAGGTATGAGACTACGTAAACGGATCAAACCGAAAGGAACAGTTCGATCCGAGTACTAGTACGTTCGAACAAAGTATTTGTTTAAGATGCTTCTCTTTCTATGCGTACATTGTTAGACGAATACAGTAGTGACGATTGAACGTAATTTTTTACGTCAATGACGTGACACTGATGGTAGTAGCGATTCAAGTCGTAATGACGGTTTTGTAATAACAGGATTATCAAAAACAATGCTTTTATCCACGCTATTTCTAACTACCGCGCATTATGCGCATATTCCACAAATATATTTTTTTCACTCTGAATGAATTAAATGCAGTAAGGCAGATTTCGTTTATATATATTGGATCTTTCTTTTGTCTCTGTTTAGCGTGATATTACGATGTAGCGATCTTGAAAAAAAGTTTGAATAAAGTAATTATGCAATGAGTCTTCTCCCGTTTTCTTTTTCTTTTTTTCCTTTTTTGTATATTGTACCGGAGGAAAGAAAATACTGTTGAATTTAAAAATTACTTGCACGTCGTCAGAGACTAATGTAACGAGTATATATATTGGTAGGTGCAACTTGACCAAATAAAAGTGAAAGAAATGGATGGAACGAGAGCTGCTGAGGTTCTACCTTTGCTTCAAGAACGTCTGGCTATTCTGCCAGGTGGTCGGGATCGTAGAGGTGGACCGGTGCTTGTATTTCCTACTACACCGAGACGCGAAAGAGCTAAACCTGAAGATTACAGACGCCTTTTGCAATATCTATTGACTGTGCCGAGCGATGAAGCCAGAGGTTTACGCTTCACTGTCATTGTGGATATGCGTGGTGCAACTTGGGATTCTGTCAAGCCAATTCTAAAGGTCTAATTGATATCTACGCATTTTACTCCTCTTTTTTTGTTTCTAGATCCAATAATAGTAACTTTGATAACACCCTGACACATTGAAGTTACAAAATGAAATGGTATTTCGTAAAATGGCTTTGTAAAGTCACGTTTAGTGATTCATAAAATGACCTGAAAATTGAGAAAATATCTGACGATTAATGTTTTAAATAAGCTTTCAATCATTAAAAGTTGATACTTAAAAATTTTAGGTGTTACACGAACATTTTCATCGATCAGTTCATGTTGCTTTTATCATCAAACCTGAAAATTTCTGGCAGAAACAACGAACGTCGTTGGCTAAACAAAAGAAATATAATTTCGAAGTAAGCGGAGAAAAAGTTACAGAAGAGACGTGCGTTTGAATGGCAAAATGATTGAAAGTGCTTTTCCTCTTTCAGATAAATACAATAAGTTTAGAAGCATTGACAAAGGTGATCGATCCGTCACAGTTGACCGCGGATTTAGATGGATCGCTACAATATGATCATGCACAATGGATCGACACGAGACTAGCTGTAGAAGACTTTACGTGGCAGGCAGCTGACCTTCTCGATAGATTAGACGACCTACAGGAAGATCTGAGTCGAAATGATTTTGCGGACGACGTGACTGGTGCGAAACACGGAATTGATTTGCATAACGAAATGAAAAAAAAGATCATGAAGGTTCCAGTGGAAGAAATTGAAGTTGTTGGTCAGCGTCTCTTGCAACGTTTCGATAGTAGTAAGAAACTATGTGTTATTTGTCATTGTGTATATCAATGTCGATCTTTTCTTGTGTCTGTACAATAATTGATAATCTAAATTAATCGATAACGAATCGTTGATATATCGTAACAGGTATAGCGGCAAGCAGTGGCGAAGGTGGTAGTATAGAGAGCGGGGCAGCTGGTGGTGCGGATCCGGATGGACGAGCTCTGGCAGCACTAGTAATTCAGCATTTAGATTCTGTGCATGCCGCGCAACAACGTCTTTTACAGTTGTGGCATATTAAAAAGATGAAATTGGATCAGTGTTTTCAATTGAGACTTTTCGAACAAGATTGCGAGAAAATGTTTGATTGGATCTGTCACAACAGAGAAGGATTTTTGGCGAATTACGTCGAAATTGGACGTTCTTATCAACTGGCAAAAAATTTGCAGGAAGAACATAAACATTTCACTATGAGTTCTATGAATGTTTATGTGAATATAAATAAGATTTTAACCATGGCCAGTCGTTTGCTCGAAACTCAACATTATGCTGCTGGACACGTTAGAGCAGTAGCCGGCCGATTGGATCGAGCTTGGAAAGAATTTGCGGCAGGACTTGATGAACGTACTGCAGTTTTGAGTTTGAGCGTTGTATTTCATCATAAGGCGGAGCAGTATGTCGACAGCGTTGCAGGATGGAGTCAAGCTTGCGATGCTGGAAATCTACCTAATGAAATACCAATCTTAGAATCTCACATACGACAACACCAAACTCTTTATGAAGCGATGTGTCAAGCTTACACAGAGGTAATATTTTCTTGTACGTTTTGTGATACAATGTCATCGTCGTCGTCGTCGTCGTCGTCGTCGTCGTCGTCGTCGTCGTTTCATGCAAATTTATAATGTTCATTTTATCCTTTCTATATGTTGCGAGACACATATAATTTCGGCTTTCGTCGCTTTTGCGACGTGAAGGAATTTTGCGAAAGAAACAAAACACAATTTTTTTTCATTTGATTAATTGTAGTTTGGCCTTGTAACTCGTGATTTTGTTCATAACGTGATATTTAGTAAAAGGCGATAATGTTTGGCAGGTATATGACGCGTATCAGGCACTTTTGAGCGGACTAGGCTCGATGCTGCAAGTTTGTCACGGCTTCGGTTCGACGCACGGTTCGAGCTCGGATATGAGTTTTTGCATCGATTATGTATGAAACGATTAGTCTTTTTTTTTTTTTCAATAGCTTCTAACCGGTGATCGTTTGCTTGGTATACGGGTTTCACAAAAAGAAAGATGAGAGAAATATTAAAATAAAAAAAAAAAAAAGAAAAAAAATAGGGGATTAGATGGTAAGAGAGAGAGAGAGAGTTAACTCTGCGAATAAAGGGAACGGGTTGCATCATGCGATAATTTCGAACACAAATGAAATTTGTCTTTTCTCGTTGCGTGGATTCGTGAACTTTTTTTTTTTTTTTTAATAAATTGTGCAACTAAAATATGGTTTTAATGTTTAATGGTATTCAATGGCGCAACATGAAATATGGTTTTGGGTAATCCTACTGTTGTTTAGGTGCATAGTACCAGTAAGAAGCTTCTTTATCAACTGGATCATCTCGTGCAAGTCTGTAATCAGCCGCAAGGGATAGACCATACAGCCAGAAAACATGTACGTCTATTGGTGTGCACGAATGTATGCGTACATGCCTGCAAACTAATTTTCATTTCGCTTTATGTATCGTTGTAGTTTACCTCTCGGTAAATCGTATCAATTGTTTGCAAATCACTTGGATTGAGAAAATATATGGGACGTGCATGGGTCATCGATAACGCCACGCTACAAGCTATAAACACTTAAGCTCGTTTAACCCGCGAACTTTCTTTCCTTTCCCCTTCTTGCTTTCATGAAAGGAACAAGTCTTTTTTTTGGAATAATCGTCGTTGGAATTAACCGATGTTGTTTTTTTTAAGTTCTATCCATGGGAGTAGCAACGAACGAGTACGCGTTAATTAAAATAATTGCTGTCATAGTGCATGCGAAATAGTCAGACCATTTTGATATAAAAAATTTCAATTATTGAATGGATAAGATGATTGATCTGTTCAGAGTCAAGATGGACACGGCATCGATGGACATTCCGGTATGAGTGGAAATCCAGCTGCGGATTATAGTGAAGGTGCGTCCCACGTATTGGCGGTAATACATCAGATCTTGGGTCATCACAGAGCGTTGGAAGCTCGTTGGCATGCTCGAAAAGTCAAACTGCATCAACGACTTGCGTTAAGGTACGCGGAATCCTTGTGCATCATTTTTCGGATTTTTTCGGGTCGTTGTATTATTATGTTAATCTCCCGTATCAATTCTTTGTTTAGATTATTTCAAGAAGATGTGAAGCAAGTTTTAGATTGGTTAACTAATCATGGCGAAGTTTTCATCAGAAAGAACACAGGAGTGGGTCGAAATCTTCAAAAAGCAAGAGTGTACCAGAAAAGTCACGAACATTTTGAAAATGTCGCTCAGGTAATAACTCGACGATATTGTTCACTATGCGATGTATGGATACAAATATTTTTCATTTGTTCAGAATACCTATACAAATGCTACTAAACTACTTACCGCTGCTCAAGAATTGGCACACACTGGTGAGTGTGCTGCCGATGAAATATACGCTGTAGCGCAAGAATTAGAAGCTCACGTTAGTAGCTTTGCAGCAAGGGTTGAACAACGTCGCCGAAGATTGGATTTGGCGGTTGTGTTTTATACGCATGAAAAAGAGGTAAAATAAATAACATGTGTTATTAGTTCCAAAAATATTTATATTTTGAATTTTAGTTGAGTGGTTGGGTTGACGAATTGCGACAAGAATTGCAACAAGACGAAGTAGCGGAGAATCTGGAAACGGCAGAAAGACTGCTGGAACAGTGTGCGCAACATCGAGCCTCCTGTATGGAGGCTTGTGCATCGACTATTGTTCAGGGCGAAGCATTGCTTCGAGAACTTCGAGAATCTACCGATGCTCCTGATACTACGGGCTCTGTAAGTTTTGTGTTCTAGTTTGCGTCGCCTTTTTTCTTTACCCGTTAATTCTTGTCATTCGTGAATAGAATGTAACAAAAAAAAAAAAAAAAAGAGACAAAAGACACGTTTGAAACTATAAACTGTTTTCAGATATCTGCGGTAGAAGCTGCCCTAGATAGGTTAGCAGGCTTGAGGCAAGAATTAGAAGATTTATGGGCTACGAGAAAATTGAGACTGGAACTGTGTCTACGATTACGCGTATTCGAAAGAGATGCTTTAGAAGCGAGTGGTCAGTTGGAGATGTGGGCACAAGAATTACAAGGTCCACCTCGAGAAGGTTCCCCCGAGCAACTGTTGCGTGTACACAACGATGGTGTTGCTCATATGCAAAATACTGCTTTTCAGGTTCTGCAACAAGGTCAAGAACTCGCTCAGGTAAGATTAAAATATAAGTATGTATTCTGAAATTGCATCAAAACGAACAAAATGTTATCGTTCTAATCACTATTATTATCATCATCATCATCATCCTCGTCGTCGTCGTCATCGTCATCGTCATCATCATTGTCATCGTTATTGTTGTTATTGATACATTGATTATACCGGAATGGCTTCGAAACCAATTTTTAAATTAAACAGAAATCGAATCTAAAATTCTTACTTTGCAAGATTTCGAAACTCTCGAAACTTTGAAACGTGAATTTCCTAACTCAAGTTGACACTTTTACATAAATTTATTGGTACGTAGTAGCACGAACAAAAACATAACACAATAAACAAAAATGTTTTCATCCAGATTCTTGTTAAAAAACACTAACACTAATTGTAAGTCGAATTTTTTCTTGATCCAATCTGCTTCTTTTCCTTTTTTTTCCTTTTTCAAACAAAATCTGATCGATAGGGTTCAACGAGATATCTTCCTTTTGATAATCTCTTTAAATTTGGATTCGGTTTACATTATCGTTCCAAAATTATTAATTGCACTTTTTACTTGTAGTTTAAACAAAATACCGCGTTCACGGTGCATCGGCATCACCGAACGTTCAAAATACACGTGAATCCTTTGCAAATAGCCTTTATTCATGATGCGAATTTTATACTTTTATCTTAATTGAATTTCGACGTTTCATCAAATCACTTTAAGAAGTTACGAAAATTGAGTTCTCTGAAAAAAATACGAAATTGAAAACTTTGTTGAATGTCGAGAAGTTTCGAATGACCCGTCTCTGATATAGATTACATACAAACTATACAAAAATTATCCAACGAATCGCTACAGTAACAGTACAATAACAGAAGGTTAATAAACAGAGGCGTAATAATATTCACAATAATAAACATAATCCAAGAAACGTATTATTTTAAATTGTGTTATGGGCTGCTCTCTTTATCTCAACGCTGTGTTAACATTATGTTAACACTTAGGTATTGGAACAAGCAGGAGTTTGCATAATGGCAGACGGGCAACACAGTGCTACGTCGAGAGTACAAGTGCTTCTCGAATTCTTAAACGAAAGGGAAATGGACGCAGAAGATTTGGCAGAGATGAGAAGAGTTCGTTTGGAGCAAGCCTCTCAATTGGTACAACTACAAACTGACGCTACACATGTAGCCAATTGGATTCGCAATGGAGAAGCTATGCTGTTAGCTTCCTTGAGAGTTCCGGAAAACCTACAAGATGCAGAACAGCTTCGTTTGGAACACGAACAATTTCAAGTTGCTATAGAAAAAACACATACCTCGGCTGTTCAGGTACGTGCTTGTATCTTTCTTCTACAACGCAATGACATTATAGCGAGAATGAACGTCTTTGTCTAGTAAACTGAACATCAATGGTACGTGTCAATCGTTGTAGGTGAAACACCGAGCAGATGCGTTAGTAAGTGCGAATCACTATGATCCAAAGAGTATAAGAGAAGTGGCGGAGGATGTGACTAAAAGATGGCAACAACTAGTAACGTGTGCAGAGGAAAGACATAAGCTAGTAACTGCTAGCATTAATTTTTATAAAACGGCGGAACAAGTTCGTTCCGTATTAGATAGCCTCGAACGTGAATACAAAAGGGACGAAGATTGGTGTGCTTCTGGCGAAAAGACAACACAAGTACCGACGCTTGTCGGCAAACATCAAGAACAAAAGGAAGCATTTTTGAAAGCGTGCACGTTGGTACGACGAACCGCAGAGACATTTCTCAAATATACAAATCGCAGTCTTCAATTTTATAGTTATCAAGCGAACAGCGCCGGTTCTGAGAATAAAGTTAAAAGTTAGTTTCGCGTTAATTTGTATGACATCTGTCTATGCATTTAAGCTTATGCATTTGCATGTTTTCTGAAAACATTTGTGACGTTTCAGATATTTTGGAAGAGTTACTTAGTAAAGAAAATCGCGTGCTCGAGTATTGGACACAGCGTAAGAAACGACTGGACCAGTGTCATCAATATGTTTTGTTCGAGCGCAGTGCTAAACAAGCTCTAGAATGGATTAGAGAAACGGGTGAATTGTATTTAGCCACACATACTAATGTAGGCAAAAATCGCATCGAAAATGAACAGTTGTTGCGGGAGCACAATGAATTCAAAGGAGCTGCGAAGGTAAGTTGGATTAAAACAAGGAGTAACTCTGTCTTTTTTTTATTATTTTTTTCTTTTCCCTCGGTTATTTCTATTTATCGTTACATACGCACTCTCTCTCTCTCTCTCTCTCTCTCTCTCTCTCTCTCTCTCTTTCTCTGGAATTATTTTATTTATGTTTTTCGTTCGTATCTGTGTGATAGGAAACACGAGAAAGGGTGAAGCTGTTGATTCAACTTGCTGATAATTTAGTCGAGAAAGGGCATGCTCATGCAGCCGCGATCAAACAGTCTGTGGCCGAAGTGGATCAACGATACAAAGACTTTAGTACGCGCATGGATTGCTATAAAACTCAAATCGAAGAAGATCTTGGAATTCAATCTGATGATGGTCAAAAAGATCTTTCCATCGATCGCAATTCCGATCCTCTGCTCGAGGAAAAAATTAAAGGGAAAGATCTGAAGGAATTGAACGAAGAGAAAAGAAGATCAGCAAGAAGAAAAGAGTATGTTTCTTTTTAATGAAATGATAATTGTGATGTGCGGCTGTGATAGCTGTTCCCAGGTGTAATTTTCATCATTTGCTACAATGTATTCGCAGATTTATAATGGCTGAACTACTGCAAACAGAACGAACTTACGTAAAGGATTTGGAAACTTGTATTCGATGTTTTTTGGAAGAGACACGATGCGGTAAAGGAAACGTTCCATCTGGTTTGCAAGGACGAGAGTCAATAATTTTTAGCAATATGGAAGAAATTCATCAATTTCATAGTAACATATTTCTTCGTGAGCTGGAAAAGTACGAGACTATGCCAGAAGATGTTGGGCATTGTTTCGTCACGTGGGTAAGCTATGTCTATGTACTTTATATCTTTTCCGTCTCTTTATTTAATTTTATTCGAATTGATCGATCATTTGTTAATTGATTAATTTGTTTTTTTTTTTTTTTTTTTTGTATCGATCAGGCTCCTAAATTTGATATGTACGTGACATATTGCAAAAATAAACCGGAAAGTAATCAATTATTAGTTACTCATGGTGGAACATGGTTTGAAGAATTGCAAAGAAAACATCGAGTTGAACATCCGATTGCAGCATATCTAATTAAACCCGTGCAGCGAATAACAAAATATCAATTGTTGCTCAAAGATCTTCAGGTATGCCGATCGAGGAGAAGACAAAATGTTCTTTAGACATTTTTCATTCAATTGATGGATTTGATAGATGTAAAATTTTATATTTTTGTTTACAAGTGCTTCGTAGCATAAGTTTCTTTTCCTTTTCTTTTGTTACATTTCTATATTTCCTCTGCCTCCTTCCCCCCCTCCCCCCTCCCTCTCTCTATTTTGTATTTTTTTCTTTTATGCCTACTGTTTTTCTATAATTTGATTCACTTTTACAAATGATTTAGGCTTGTTGTCAAGAAGGACAAGGAGAGATAAAAGATGGGTTAGAAGTAATGTTAAATGTGCCTAAGAAAGCAAACGATGCCTTACATTTGAGCATGCTGGAAGGTTGTGATGTAAGAATAGATACACTAGGCGATGTAGTGCTGCAAGACTCTTTTACAGTTTGGGATCCTAAACAACTGATTAGAAAAGGCAGGGACCGGCACATATTTCTGTTTGAGTTGTACCTATTGTTTAGCAAAGAGGTGAAAGATTCAGCTGGAAAGGTGGGTAGAAAAGCAACATATATATATATATATGGAAAAGTAATATACAGAATGTGAAAGAGCGGTATTGCTCCAGCAATGTGAATCCATAGAAAGTAGAGGTAGGAGATTTCGTTTTGTTTGTTTGTTGTTCGTAGGTGAAGTACATTTACAAAAGTCGTTTGATGACTTCCGAACTGGGCGTGACCGAACATATCGAAGGTGACGAATGCAAGTTCGCCGTTTGGACAGGTCGAGCACCAACTAGCGATACACGTGTCGTTCTTCGAGCTAATTCTATGGACGCCAAACAGTTGTGGGTGAAAAGACTACGCGAGGTTATTCAGGAAACGTATTTCAGTTTGAGTATGCCCAAGAGTCCTGCGAAAAAGAGTTCGAGTCAACGTTCTAGCAGAGATCTCGAAGAATGTGCATCTTTGGACGACAGCGTTGAAAATTTAGATAGAAATTCCTTGGCATCGTTTGGTTCCACCAACACTACGGATTCCGATAAGGTAAGTCGGGTCTTTTAATCGACGGTTTTTATCTTTTTGTTGCTAGGTTTTCTTCTTCGGTGTTACTTTTTTTTTTTTTTTTTTTTTTTTTCATATAGAGTTTAAGTTAATTGGCAATTTAGTTTCGGAATCAATCTGGATTTGATTTTCTGAGAGAAAAGACGGTGCGGGTAATATATAGGTTGATCGTTGGAATCATATTCGTCGATCGTATCCAATTTTGTATTTGCGAAGAATTTCAATTTTTAGCATATAAAATTGGACAGATGGTTCGATCTGCATGTAGTAGAATTAGAGCAAATGATGACATGTATGTAAGTGGTTGTCGTTCGATGCAGTCAAGACGATACACGATATTAAAAAAAAGAAAGAAAAAAAGAAAAAGGATATCTGTAAGATTCAGAAAACGTTCGACACGAAGTTTGAAACGAGCGTACGAAAGTAATACAAACGCATAAGTTTGGTGATTTTTGGTAATTTTGGTGACGTGTAACAAAGTAATATATATATATATTGGTACATAAAAAGTATAGTAAGTACAGAAAGATTAGAGCGATTAAAAGTAGCGAAAGGACAAAAGGAAAAAGGGAGAAAGTAGAGACAAATAGGGGAAATAGGAGCGATATGTACATCATATGTATAGTGACGAATAGTTGTTCTCGTGATTCGTTGGTTGTTGATCGATTTGTCGATAAGTGGGGTAGCGATGGAAGCGAGCATCGCGAGTGGCGAGAGAAGAGGCGTTGGGTGGGGTTCGTCGGAGAATAATCGAAAAGCGAGCAAGCGCGTCGCAGCGTGTGCACGAGGGGGGCACGATGGTAGAAAAGCGATGGTGAGGGGGGAAGGGGGAGGGGAGTGAAGAGCGAGAAATAGGTGGTAAGGTAGGGTAGGGTAGGGTAGGGTAGGGTAGGGTAGGGTAGGGTAGAGTAGAGTAGGGTAGGGTAAGCGAAGAGGGTGTTAAAGCGGCGGTGGGCCGAGGGTACGAGGAACGATACGAACGGGTGACGACGGGATCAGTACGGGCGCGACACTTGGGTCGAATGGATCGATGACTCGATGGTGAATTTGACGGAGAATCGTCGACGAAAGTTTGTTGATTCGTTTCGAAAGACAGAGAAGACCGTTGAAGCAAGCATGTGGCTCGCGCGTTTCGTAACTTGTTTATTCCTGTTTCTTATACGATACTCGATTATCGCGTTCGTGCACGTGAATTGAACACGAGGCAAACGAACTGTCATGACGTCACCAGCGGGAAAACCTGCAACAATCGTGAAGAAAGCCCGTAGGAAGATCTCGTTGCCTTGGTTTCGTCAGAGTTCTGTAACTCCGCCACATGCAGCCCTCTCTAGGCAGCATACCATCGATACCCCGAGCTCGTTCCAGGCTCGACTCTTGCATCGTCAACCCTCCCTCTCCCAGGTATTTAAGTACCCGTTCACCCACAAACGCGCATTCGCGTACACACACACACTACATTTTTCCGTATGTCTTTCATCTAGCCGATTGTCTTTCTTCCCCGATTAGTAAGTTAGTTTCATATTTCCATCCGTCCACAATTAACCGTTCACCCTTAAAATTATATTTATCATATTTTTGAACAGAGTTGAGAGAAAATATGAGAAAATAAAAATACGAACCGTGGCAAAAGTCAAGGAGAAAAATAACGTACTTTTCGCCAGTATGGAAAACATCATGGAGGTTTTTCTCGCAGAATAGTCGAATCGAAACGATCAACGAAAATGAATATCGCAGTCACTGTCGTAAAGTGTAATAACGAGAAAGAACGATGGTGTACATTTCACGTTTGTAAATGAGAAAGATGAAAACTCGAAAGATGAAAATGTCAAATGAAAAATTGCGATACGAACGTTGATTAATTGTCATGATTCGGCTTTAACAAACGTTTCTGTGTTTAAAATGTTCGTTTAAATTTATCCATAGATTACATTTGCAAATACACGATATATAGGGGAAACGCGGTCGCAGGTCGTATCCGCATCCATGTCCGCAATCGTATCCGTAGCCACATCCGCAGTCATTTCTGTATTCATAAAACCGAGAACTTTTCAGTTTAAATCGTTGTTGACACGATTTGTCGTTGACATTGTCATCCTTTCACTTTTATTTGTCACGATGTAAGAGAATCAAACGCGTTACGTCGTTTCGCGTTATAAACATAAATGCAATTAAATTTCATATTATTTTCGGCTATCTTTATGTTGGAAAAATTCTCCCCCTCCCTCCCCCCCCCCCCTCTCTCTCTTTCTCTCTCTGTCGTTATTGAATTTTTCTCTTTATTTTTAAATTTTATTTATTACCTTGTTGGTTTTGAAAATTTGATTGGATATATCAATTGGGATCATTGATGTTTGCTTGTTCTTTTGGATTTTCCGTGCATGGAAAGATGATCGATGCAAAACCTCTCTCTCTTTCTCTCTTTCGCTCTCATATTTTTTCGTCTCTTATTTTCTCTCTGTTTTCCTCGAAATCATTACGGATGCAAATCGACGTACTACACGCCATTCGACGCCAAGTTGAAATTGGCTTGTTGCCGAGATTGTTCGCTACGTTGGAATAAAAGTTAGATTCGGGATGTAAACGCGTGTGTGCCGCGTATACAGATAAAAGGCAATATTACTTTGGAAAACGAATAAAAGTACCACGTAATCTAACGTAATTACACAGTGATTCACGAGAATCAGTTAAAAAAATCAGAAAACAAGGGCAATAGTAATCGCGTGATAAATCTTGCTATGGCTGTAAGCTGGCTGTGTTGGCGGAATCAGTTCAATTCGATCGTGATAACGATTAATCAACATTCGTGGTTAGGTGGATTCTCGGCATGTTGGGAGCATCGAGAGGATTCAAAGAGAATCGGCAAAATTTGGCACGTGGAAAAAGTCTATTTTCGTCGATGGAATGCAACGCGAAAGCGGTCGACCTCTCCGACTGTTTTGACTCTCGGCCTTATAACTAGAACCGTCATCACCGGTTTATAGTAATGCTCTCGTAACTTGCAGCATTTCTCATTTATCTTCTCGAATTCAATTGATCAAAGCAATTGGTTGAAAAGTTATTTTTCATCGAGGAAATGACAAAAATAGCGGTTCGAACATCGCGATGCGTAGAGTTATCTATCTACACGTTAAGTTTAGTCAAGTTCCTTCCTTCCTTCCTTCCTTCCTTCCTTCCTTCCTTCCTTCCTTCCTTCCTTCCTTCCTTCCTTCCTTCCTTCCTTCCTTCCTTCCTTCCTTCCTTCCTNTTTCTTTCTTTCTTTCTTTCTTTCTTTCTTTCTTTCTTTCTTTCTTTCTTTCTTTCTTTCTTTCTTTCTTTCTTTCTTTCTTTCTTTCTTTCTTTCTTTCTATCTCTCATTATTTTCTCCCATCTTTCGTTCTTGAGGAAATTCTTATGAATTTACGATTATTTCTCGAATAAACGTTATCGAAAGAGGAAGTTTGTCAAGTGAATCATACGGTACGCGAAATGATGCAAAAGGTAAAAGCATATTTCATATCGTGTGAGATAATTGGACGTAATGTACGTAAAAAACGGAAAAATGGTCTAAACTCGTGTATTTTGATGTGTCTAATCGTCGCGTCGCTGTATTTTCGAAAGAAACGGCGCGGCGGATAGAGTGTGTACGAGTGTGTACGCGCGCGCGCGCGCGCGCGCGTGTGTGTGTGTGTGTGTGTGTGTGTATTTATCAAAGACAGGCTATTTCGATCAAATAGAAATCACCGAAGCTAGAATAATCCATTAAACGGTCCAATGGACCGCAAAGTCAAAGACGATCGGTGCACGCTGTTCTGTGTTAATCTATGCACCCCCCTCCTCTTTGTTCTTCTCTATCTGCTCTTTTTCATCCATCTCCTTTCCTTACACTCTGCGTGTTTTCATCCAGATGCTTTTTCATTTTATCGCGAATCAGTCGGATGTGTTTGAAGAGAGTTTGAAAACGATCGTCCCATCTTAAGAAAACATAATCTTGTTATTAGTCCGTATGATTCGATCGCGAATTATGGATTATGAAACGACAAGTATAAGATAAGATAGCGTAGATTTACGAAAAGTGTCAAAGATTATTTTACTTTATTGTCGTTGAATTTTTAGACTGGTGTTGCCGAAGTGACTTGGGTTATAGCCGATCACTCCGCGGCGCCTGGATCTAAGGAATTGACAGTAACGAAGGGTCAACAAGTCGAAGTATTGGAAAATGGAAGTAACATTAGCGGTGTGAATACATCCGAATGGACCCACGTACGTTTACTGGTCGCCCCGGGACAAGTTGATCCTCCGCCAGAAGGATTGGTTCCTACTAGTGCGCTTAAGCAGCCTCCGCCTGTCTCTACTAAAACTTCACCGTCTAGAAAAATTACAGGGCAACAACAACAACAACAGCAACAACAACAACAACAACAGCAGCAGCAGCAGCAACAACAACAACAACAACAATCATATTATCATCAACAATCAAACAATCAAATTCAAACTGCTACGTCTAGCGGAGGAAGTGCAAGTGCATCGTCCAGTGCCACAGGACTACCTTCGGGATCTTCGTCGTCGTCGTCGTCCGTCGCAACAGGCGTAGCACCGAGTGGTGCGTTGTCCATTCAAAATGTGCCACCGACTTCTGCATTGCCAGACGAAACAGGTGAGAGGAACGTTTTGCCGAACAATAGACAAAAAGTGTACCGAGTAGACCAACCGCAACCAAAAAAGCATTACGGCGTAAGGTAGGTTCGTGTGAAATGAAATAATATTCGAATATAACGTAAAGTACGATGATAAATTAAAACGTAAAGTACGATGATAAATTAAAAGAGCACGTGCACGACAAGGGTAGAACGAGAAGATAAAACTGAATGTAAGATTAAAACAGAGTGCATACGTAAGATGGTTACGATAGAATGATACAATTTTGTGTAACAAAACTTACGCTTTTAACAAGTGTCAACAGTTGTAAACGGGAAAAGAGGTTTATCATTGTAAAAGCATAAAGATGAATTTACGTCCAGTTACTGATAATAAACGAACAGGTGTAAAGTTTACGAGGACGTTGATTCGTTGTGATCAAATTGGTTATCTCTTTGACAACGGGTCTATTGTACGCGTACTCCGTGTCAGTCGTGTCGGATCAATACGATGTACCGGGATAACTGTGTCCTTGACCGGTTGAATCTTCAACCGAGATACCGATAGAACAAGATCGATGTATCGAACATATTGAACGTGGTTTTACATCGATGGTCGCTAACCTTTCCTAAAGATTAATCAATATCAAATTTATTAACCAATTGTTAAATTTGTCCCTTCGATTCGAGGATTTTTATTTAGGACTGTATCACGCTAATACTAGTCGTTTCGATATCTATCGTCTCTTTTTTTTTTTTTTTTTTTTTTTTTTGTTTTTTTTTTTTTTTTTTTTTTTTTTTTTTTTTTTCATTGTTAGCAGCAATCGTTGTCGATTACTGCTATAATTCATCTTCTTGAAAATGTTCTTTCTCTACTGTCAACTACCGTCAACTACCTGATAACTTTCACTCTCGCGATTTGCGTGACTTTGATCGTGTCGGTGTCTCTTTTTCTAGAAAATATTATTGCCGCAACTGCTACCGCAAACGATGGAAGTAATCCTGCGAACACGAATTCTCCAGGCAACAAAAGACGCGGTTTTAGCAGGTAATTAGCCAACCAAACTTTACACGTGTATCCGGTGAATGATAAACGACATGTCGAACATTGCAAATGTCGTTTCTTCTCGTTTCCTTTTTTCTTTTCTAGAAGAAAGTGGCTGCCTCCGCCGTTGCGTAAACTTAGCCAAGGTAAAGTCGAGAAATCACCACCGACTACGACGCCGACAGCGACACCGACAGCCGCGACGACGTCAACCGCTGTCTCGATCGTATCGACGTCCTCCGATCGATCTTCTCTGAAAAAGAACGTTTCGGAAAAACGGTTTAAATTGCCAAGTGGTGCCGAGCAGTCTCGACCTTCGAGAGCCGCTTCCGTTTCGATCTCTGCGTTAACGACCGCGACCGCGTCTATGCGCGTGTCTGCCTCCGTTTCGGAGGCGGACCTCGACGCCGAGCTTCAACCAGGAATCGAAGGAGCAGAAGAGGAGGAAGGAGAAACCGAACAATCGGAACCCGAGTTGGAAGAGGATGCGGTACCGGAACCCGATGACGTCGAGGCTTTGACCTATTCCGAACAAAACGGAGCGGACGATGCCGAGGACGAACTGGAACTTCCCCCGCCGATGAAGCCCATCACTGAACCAATACTCGTGGCGACTGCCAACGGATCATCGGCATCTGCAATCACAACGGAAACCTGTGGAAAATCTCGAGTAAGTTTCATTTTCTCTTTTCCTACTGCCTCTTCTTCCAATATTATTTTTTTCTGCCTTTCGTCTTTTTCCAATTTTCTTATTCTTTCTCAATTAGTTTTTTTTTTTTTTTTTTTTTTTTTTCCAGAACCTTCTCCCGTCGAATGTAACACGTTTAGTTTCCCTACTCGCAACGTTTAACAGCCAACGCTGTGAATACAAATGAATCGTACGTGAGGAAATTTGAGCGTTCCATTCTTTGTATCAATGAAACTGTTTTCACATGTATAGTGTATATGTATATATGTATATATCAATATATCAATCTTTGACTTCGTACGATTTTTATTACGATTAAAAATTCATATTGTACGAATGAGTGAGCAAAAGTCCAATATTTCAAAATGTTGTATTTGAATAAACTGTAGTGACCGCGGAAAATAAATTGATATACTATTTCTGGAAAAGAATTTTAAATTAAATTGGTTTTAATTATACGTAGACGTCTGAGCGCTCGACAAAAATTCTCGACGGTGCCACGACGGCCGATTTAGCTGAAATTGAACAGATCGTGAAAGAAAGGATGGTAAGTCTGTTAAATAAAGTTATTATCTTTTGTAATTCACAATGCTAATGTTGCTAATGCTGATGTTGATGCTAATCGAATGCTACTATGTCGAACATAATCATAGGAACAACATACGGAAAATCAAGAGAGACAAAGCCTGATGCGAACGCCCAGTGGTAAAAGTTCGAATGTTGGTATCGGTGGGGATGACGATTATAACGAAGGTAACCTCTCGACTGCGATAACTATCGCTGCCACGACAATTACAGCAGCGGCAACAACAATGACAACAGCGGCAATGATGACAGCGACGACGACGACAATGACGACAATGACGACAATGACGACGACGACGACGACGACGATGACGACGATGACGACGATGACGATGACGACGGGGACAACTACAACGACAACGACAACGGCAAAGACAGCAACAACGAGTAGCAGCCCTATTCATGGGAATTTGGAGGAATGCGATGTGGAAAGTGCAGCAGTGACGCAACGACAATTCGTTATTCGAGAATTAGTGGAAACGGAAAAAGATTATGTAAATGATCTGAAGCAAATAGTCGAAGGATATATGTCGTTGATGCGAGATCCTGAGTCTGAAATACCATTGCCGGACGACCTACGTGGTGGAAAAGATAAAATGGTTTTCGGCAATATAGAGGCGATCTACGAATGGCATAGAGAGTAAGCCTCGCTTCTATTTTCGTTTCTTTTTAGTTCAACGTGTTCAAATTCGCGAATGATTGGATTAACCTTGCTGATTTATTTTGCTGTATAGTTTCTTTCTGAAGGCGTTGGAACGTTGTCTGGAACGGCCGGAAGAACTCGGACCGCTGTTTAAACGATACGAAAGAAAGTTGCACATGTACGTTGTTTATTGTCAAAACAAACCAGTCTCCGAGTATATTGTTTCCGAGTACATAGACACTTATTTCGAGGTAAGTCATCGTGCATGTACATGTTTTTAATTTTCGCGTCGTTTTTTTAACTTTGTATTATCATTATTGTTACCGATTGTTACCGATTTTCTCTAGGACTTGAGACAAAAGCTCGGACATCGGTTACAATTATGTGACCTTTTAATTAAACCAGTTCAGAGGATCACGAAATATCAGCTTCTTCTTCGAGACGCATTAAGACTTACCGAACGAACTCAAAGAATGTCGGAAATCGAAGGGCTTAGAGCTGCGGTTCATGTGATGCGTATTATTCCAAAAGCAGCCAATGACATGATGGACGTTGCGAGACTCCAAGGTTTCGACGTAAGTGAAAATCTATTCCAATGCAGAGTGAGATTTGATTATATTGATGTACACATTTATCTTATCTTTTTTTTAGAACTCTGTCCAACTCTGTTTGTTTGTTTAAATTGTGTCTTCTTCTTTAAATATCGCAGGGAAAGATCACAGCTCAAGGGAAGTTGTTGTTGCACGGACCACTTCTAGTATCGGAATTTTCCTCAAATTTACCGAGTAAGGAAAAAGAATGGCAAGTCTTCCTCTTCGAACAAAACATTATTTTTAGCGAGGCTGTCGGTAAAAAGACACATTTTACAAATCCCGTCTACATTTACAAGGCTCATATCCAGGTAAATAATATTCATATGTGTTATGAAAGTTTCTGACAAATATTTTCAACTGTGTAATTTATCGAGTCTACATTGTATTGTAAAGTCCAGCGAAATGCACATACTGATGAATAAACCTATTTAAACTTAAAGAAAAAGAAAAGAAAAAGAAGAGGAATTGAAACAAAAGTATATACGTATATGTATATGCATTCTAGATGATATTTGTATTGATATTTACGGATGTAGACGCAGTTTACAAGTGTTGTAATTTCTTGTCCTTCTTTGTCATCGTTACTATCTCTTCATCTTTTCGAAAAATAAAGACGTGTTAAAACAGATTAGTGTACGACATCTTGTCATAATCGTTTGGAATAATTAACGGTGGTTTTGCGTATATTAACGTAATTAAGGAAAGAAAAGGAAAGAAGAAGAAGAAAAAAAGAAAGAAAGAAAGAAAGAAATGAAAAAGAGCTAAACTTTTTAGATTACGGAATACGTAAAAACTGTAAAAATAAACATTTTTCTTTTCACACAGGTGAACAAAATGAGCTTACAAAATCCTTACGACGACCCGGAAAAGTTTATAATTCGCTCGACGGATCCTCGAAAACCTGGCCTTGCATTCTCTTGTAGCGCGGTAGAAGAAAATGGGCCGCGGAAGCAGGAATGGGTAGATACGATCACTGCCATCCTGCAAACCCAACGTGACTTTCTCAAGGCGATACAGTCGCCGATTGCCTACCAAAAGGAACTTACCAAAGATCCATTGTAAGCGTCTCTTTATCTAACACACTGAATTACATTGACTCTCTTTCAACGCTCGACCCGTGAAGATTCGTTCCGAAATATTTTTGTATATTTTATATAAAAAGAGATATAGAAGCGCTGTATGTGGTAGAGAGCCGTAGTCATCTTCTAAACCGAAAATCGTTTCAATCTCTATTTTCCTTTCGTTCTGTCCCTAATTTACCTCACAATATGTTCTTTAACAACACATAATTTTTGTACACACTAATTCTTTACCCTATTGCGACGTGCTTCCTCTTGTTTGCCTTAACATTGCAGTCCAGGAATCTACCTCGCTATTGCTGCTGAGTAGCTTTATCGCGAGAGCGTCTCCTACTATATATTCTATAATAATTAAACCTACCTCCTTTGGAGTAGTTTTTAACGTTCCTAGAACTGTGCTTGCCATGGTTCGCTGGAACATAATGCTATACAATGCAATATATGATACAGTACGTTAGTACACGATACGATACGATACGATACGATACGATACGATACGATACGATACGAAACGAAACGAAACGAAACGAAACGAAACGAAACGAAACGAAACTATACGATACGATACGATACGAAACGATACGATACGATACGATACGATACGATACGATACGATACGATACAATACGGTACGGTACGGTACGGTACGATAGATACAAACAAACTACCAAAAGCAGTCTCTTATTTCTTGGCTATATTTGCACACCTGTGCAGATGAGGGTAGGTATAACGAAATGTACCCACTCACATCAGTTGTCACGTCCTTGTCACTATTCCTTGGTATCTTGTTGTTTGAAGAAGAATAACAGTAAAGTGGAAAAGCGTGTTTGTTGCATGTTTCTCTGTTTATGTGAATTATGTTCTGTCGCGTGACTGCATGATCTCGCGTAAACGCAAAGGCGTGCGTGCGCGCGCGCGCGCGCGCGCGCGCTTTGTGGGTATGTGTGTGCGTGTGAGCGTATTACGTGCAAAAGAAGAAAGAGGAAAAGTGTGCGCTGGAAGAGAAAGAGAAAGGAAAAGGGAAAAGGAAAGGGGGGTGGGGGCGAGGCAGATATTGTCGCAAAACTTGACTAGAAAGGAAAAGTAAAAGGCAAAATTGATGAAACAACGAACAAACACAAATGTATAATGTCTGTTTGGTCCAAATAGTTTTCTCTGTTTTACCATTTGTAAGAGCATGTTTGTGGGTTTCATTGGTTTCGACGTGCAGAAAGAAAATAGTCGGTATGCGCGAATCGTGGCGCATATACGAAAGATCAGACGCAATAAACCAAGAGATAGATACGTGACAGCGAGCATGTACAACATGCTGACTCACCCCCCCTCCAAACGCTATATATCACTTATTAACGACGTAACTCTACAAGTGTATAATAATTTTAATATTGTTTATAAATGCAAGATTGAACAAGAATGCGGGGGATAGTATGCTGTACATAAACGTGCATTCACAAGGGACAACAACATAAAGTAAAACTAATGACTCGAGAAACGTAAACATTTTGTTTAGAATAAATTGTACATTGGTCAACATTCTAATTGTGATGCATCCTTTTCCCAAGCCTATCTAACATTAATTACTTTCATCGTTTGACTAACAGCTTGTTTTTTCTTATTATTTCCTGAGAGGACAGGGTACTGCATCGATATTTTACGCTTTACGGTCAAAATCTCGAATTGCTTTGCACTCGATCTTGGAACTAACGTGACAGTTTGAGCGACAGACTCTCTCTCACTTTGGAAAGAAAAAGAAAAAGAAAAAGAAAAAGTAAAAGGAAAAGAAAGAAAGAAAGAAAGAAAGGAAGGAAGGAAGGAAGGAAGGAAACACGCTACTGACAAAGTAGCAAAGTATTTTGACTGTATATTACAATATCAAGTGTAGTGTAGTACGAAATGGATTTGACCGAGTGTTGATTCGAGTGAATGATATCTCGTTTGAGTTGTGACAACTCGACGCGAGAAATGTGCGTATTTCCATAGATGCAGTATCGTGTTTGAATTTCATTTATAATTTGCTGGCGTGCAGTCGTGGCGTGAGTCCGGACTCTCCGTGTCGAGGAAGTGTACTTTCAACGACTGCTGCAACAACAACAACAACAACAGTGCCAAACGTATTTAAAACAAACGAAGACTGGAGAAACGAAATGGCCGGTGCTGCTACTTCGAAAACACTAGCCACAGCTATGGCTGTAGCAGCCACGGGAACAGCAACAGCAACAACATCGGTTTTACACCGACCTCGTGCTGGAGCCATGGATCAGGATTCTTCTTTGCAAACACAGTCGAGCCCTAGCAAAGGCAGACTGAATTTTTTCGAAGGATTCAGAACCACCCTTCGACCTCGATCGCCTGTTCGCAACAACACTATCCCGGTAAGCAAAAACATGAAAATTATTACCATTTGCTAACTAAATATATATATATGTGTGTGTGTGTGTGTGTGTGTGCAACGAACGCGCACAAACATACACACATATACAATTTATATTTATCTCTATTCGTAATTAGAACTCTTGCAATTGCAGCAAAAGGATTCTTCTTTCTCTTCCTCTTGATGCCTGTTGCTATTCGCTCTCTGTCGTATAATTTTTCATTGGTACGGTAATAACTTTTATTTCTTTCCACTGTGTTTTTCCATCGATTGTGAAACGAACGACGCGAACATTGAAACACATCGACGAGTTCGTACGTCTCCCGATGTACGATCCTAGAAGACTTTGACGACTTGTTACTCTTATTTGGGAAACCAGTATTATCTTGTATATATTTTACACCAAATGAAATGCTCTCACACATTTTGAAACTGTAGTTGTTTGTTGCTTCTTGCATCGTTACTGCCTTCCCTTCCGCATTGTAATTGTCATCATCGTCATCGTCGTGATCGCGATCGTCATCGTCGATGAATTAATTCGTAGTCATTACCCGTCATTACTGTAATTCTTTCACTCATGTGTAATCGTGACAACAACAACAACAACAACAACAACGACGACAATGACAATAGTAATAATGGTAATAGTAGTAGTAATAGTAGTAGTAGTAGTAGTAGTAGTAGTAGTAGTAGTAGTAGTAGTAGTAGCAGCAGTAGCAGTAGCAGTAGTAGTGGTAGTAGTAGTAATAATAATAATAATAATGATGATGATGATGATAATAACGATAACGATAATGATAACAACAACAACAACAACAACAAGAACGATATATTCGCGGTACTAATCTGTTAGCGGAATGATGTTGAGCGACTATAGTTCTGTGCGTTGATATTCTATTGCCGTTGTTGCTAAACGCTCTAGTTTCTTGCTATTTAATCACGCTAATTACGTCTAATTGACCATAGAGGTACAAAGCGCTTATCCAGGCGTACATGGATTCCGGTACTATTGTTCACTGTTCAACTCGTATTCGCAATCAGTCAGAGTGCTTGCTTCGTTCGAGTTGAAGGTGGGTCGTCGAAAGGGAAGTAACAGTCGAAAGCGGTAAAACGAAATAAGTTGAGTGGGGGAAGAAAGAAAAGAAAAGAAAAGGAAAGGAAAAAAAAAAGGAAGAAAGAGAAAAGTTGGTGGGCGCGGTCGCGAGCTTTTTAAAGGGAAAAATGGTGAAAGATGTCGATGTTTGAGAGGGAGGGAAGCTATTTGATTGTAAAGGAGTTGTGCATGATCGGAAAGTGGGAAGAGTGGAAAAAGAGGGAAAGATTCGGCTCGAGTTAATCCGGAGATTGCGTAGATCGTTCCAGGGAGCAGAGTAAGATTAACGGCAGATTGGGGGAAATTACACGCCGGAGAAGAGTTGGAGATCTTTGGTGTGGACGGTCCAGGGCTGATCGTCTGCCCGGTAATTGGGAAAAAGGAGGAGGAATTCTGGATACCGGCGAGTCTCGTTCCGAATTCATCCATCAGCCGCGCATGGTCTTTCCGTCCGCGAAGAATCGATTCGGAGAGTTCGGGAGAGAGCGTCCATCTTCCGCAAGATGTACATGCGGAAGAGAACGGTCCTCCCGCGATCTTGACTATTCCATGTTCGATCAGGGCGACGGCCGGTGGCGTGGCTCGACTGGTGCTGGAAGTTCGTCGGGTGGAACGTGCACTCGTCCGTTGGAGAAAGGAGGGGCAACGATGTGACATCACCGAGGGAACCGATCGATATCGACTTTTCCGAACGAACGATTCCCTTTGTCTCGAAATTGCTCCTTGCCTTCCTTCTGATTCTGGTGTTTACCACTGTTACGTCCAACATGAAACGGGTTCTTGTTCAGCAAAAATTCCCCTTCGTATTATAGGTACGTTCCTTTATCGCTTTATCGTTTTCTCGCGTTCTCTATCGCGTCGCGTCGCGTCGTTATTTATATCGATATATGTATGACGTCGTGTCACGGAACGCTACGTTGTTCTCTTCTCTCATTTTTCAGGTATCGACACGACAAATGCTTGGTATATGGATACGATCGAATGCGATCGAATGCGAGCCAACGGATTGACCGTAAACGAAAGTTTAAGCTCGTCGATCGTTGCGTTGCCAAATTTGAACAAGAGATCAACCAACGACGTAGAAATTGAACAGTTTGCCGGCAAATACGTCGAGCTGGAAGAGCTAGGAACCGGCAGATTCGCCAAAGTGTGCTGTGCGAGGGAGAAAGGATTCAATCGAGAAGTAGCGTTGAAACAGATATCTCGGGCGAAGCAACCGCTCTCGCTAACGCGTGCCGAGTACGATCTTCTCAGAAGCATACGTCACGATAATATCGTCCGAGCGTTTGCGCTCTTCGAGGATACACCTCAGCCGGATGTCGATACTATCGTTTTGGAGCTGTCAGTATTTATTTATCCATTACGCGCCCCGTTTCCTTTTCTTTTTCTTTTTCCTCTTTTCTTCCACCTGTTTATCCGAGTCGAATTTACGCTTTATTACGCGTAACGTAACTCCAGACTATGTTCACTCTGTTTCATTTTAATTTTTGCTAGGGTCAAGGGTTCCACGTTGTTCGCCTATCTTGGCCAACAGGTTGAGTACACGGAAGCAACTGTGGCAAGGTACACCGGCCAATTGTTGTCGGCGTTGCAGTGGCTACACTCGCGTAAACAAGCTCATTTAGACCTAAAGCCGGAAAATATTCTGATCGATAACGAGACAGATGTTGTAAAACTGATAGATTTCGGCGAAGCTGTCAGAGCGGTACCATTGGACGAGGTGGTCCCTCCTGTTGATTTGGAATTTGCAGCTCCGGAATTGGTTCTTGGTAAACCGACCGGATCATACACCGACATGTGGGCTATCGGTGTTTTTCTATATGTACTGTTAAGGTATTAAACGCAATAGCGAGCAATAATTCGTAACGCAAATTTCGTTTAACATTGTTATTCCATCGATGATATCATACAAATTGTTCACACTTGAAAATCTCCACACCTCCACACTTGAAGTGAAATCTTTCGTACTTACAGCGGGCTTTCACCTTTCTTGGACGATTCCATCGAGGAAACTACCGCAAACATACTCAAGTGCGATTTTTGTTTTCCCGACGAGTATTTCAAGGAGATATCAACCAACGTGAAACATCTTCTTGAAACGTTGCTCCGTTTACGTGGAGAAGATAGAGCGACCGCTCAATTGGCATTAACATCGCCTTGGTTCGAGGTAATCGCGACGATTAAAATCATTAAAATCATTAAAATCATTAAAATCATTAAAATCATTAGCTCGCCCTGATCGTTCTTCTTATAATTACGTATTACCAAGTTAACTTTGCAAATCGACAAGTACACAAGTATATACATATACGTCGAAGGTCACTTTTTACCATACCATTTTACAATTTCGATCCCCGTCCCCTCCCAATCCTCGTTCTACTCGTTTTTGAAAATTCGATTAAATAAGAATTGATTGAAGTTGCGTCAAGTTTTCAAAATTCTTCACGAATACGTTACAGCGTTGTTTGTTGTTGATAGTTTATTACACCGTCACCACCAGCAACGTTAACTCGATAACTAATTAAGTAACTATAACGATCTCTTCGTCACTTTTAGATTATTCTGATGATTTTTGTTTCAGATAACGATTGGCGCCATTATCCCATCCTCCCGAATGATTGCATTTATCGACCGCCGTGCTCATCGCTCAAAATCTCATCAGGATCGGAATAGCACTTTTTCTTCTTGAATCAGTATCGTTCGCAAAAGATATATATTTATTTACTGATTGATTTTAAAAGCTCTCGGTCGAATTCGGCTGATTGTAAATAATGAACAATTGTGACTCGCTGTTGCATTCGCGCACCTTTCGATCGTCTCACATCTGCCATACAAGCCCATACACACGATCCGTGAAAATGTACATTTATACGCGCATATTAAACCTATCTACACACGTGCACGCAGATATTCTCTCTCTCTCTCTCTCTCTCTCTCTCTCTCTCTTTCTCTCTTTACTTTTTGAATAAAATGACAAAAACATATTCTTTCCATCACGGTGTGTAACGTGGTAAAGTGCGCGCTCATCGTCTCGCAAGTCATACACCGTCATCGCAGATCGTCGACACGCTATTTATCATTACCCATTGCTCCCTACCCTCGGATATTTTGTACTTTTTTTACTTTTTACGCGACTTACTTAATACGACAACCGAATGAAAGAAACGATCGACTTGCTCGATTATTTTCAACATTTAGCCACGTTGTATCAATCCGATTGAAATTTAGATAATAGAATTTAGATGACAATAAATGGCGTAGAATTCGACGTAACACGAACATGTACAACACGCGATATTTTAACAGAGCGATTAATTTCCCTGACATGAAGAAACATACTGTGTATCGATTGATAATAATGAGTCGTCTTTATCGTTGCGTATGCGGTATTACTATGTAATAAAGAAAAAATTCATTTCATTATGGTGATATTCTTAGTCGTTTACAATGATCGAGTACGTGCTGTTCGTATTCGTCCAACGAAGAAAACGATTTGTTGTCGCAGAGAAGACAGGTCGCATCCTTTCTGTTCATCGAATGACGACGCATCCGATGGAGACTGAGTTCCACCGTATCGTGCATTTGCTCGTTGCAATCTGGACAAATCACCATCATCGCCGATTCTTCGCCACTGGTCAACGCTGGTTGCGTTTCTTCCGTTATATTCGCCTTGAATAAATTGCTCGAATCAACAGCGCTGCTGCCACTTTTTTCGTCCGGATTCGACATGGTAATTTCATCGATCACCGTGTCTTTCGAAGGCGCAACAGACGGAGAGTACTCGGACTGAGTACACGGATCGAGTTTTACCGTGGTTTCTACGGACGATGCTAATTCATTCTCCGTTTTCCGCAAATTGTCAAGCTCCGTGTGAAACGTTACGGGCGAAACTTCCGGATGAATCTTCATGTGATCGATCAGCTCTTGCTTCGAGGAGAACGCATCGATTGACTCGCACGAATCGCAAGAATAACGGGTTGCACCTTGCGATTCGCATTTCTTTATGTGCTCCCTCAGCGCTCTTTTCTCAAGAAATTCTTGGTGGCAATGTTCGCAGCGATACCTTCGATCTCCATGATGTAGATTACGATGGTTTAAGAGTAACAATCTAGTTTCATAACAAATTAGACAATCTACGCACATATATCCGGATATTTGAGAATGACTATCCAATAAATGTGTCTGTAACCGACGTCGAAGTTTAAATGATTTGTCACAAAACTGGCAACGTATCTGTGGAACTTTCTTCTCTCTTGCTAATTTCGCCACCACCTTATTAGACTGCACCTCCGCTTCCGTCTCCATCTTTACTTGTGCTTCTGCCTCTGGTTCTGCCCCTGATTCTGCCATTGGTTCTGCTTCTGCCTCTGCCTCTGCTTCTATCTCTACCTCTAGCGCTTCTTGTACCTTATCTTTAGTTTCTATTGCAGTTTCTCTCTTCGCTGTTGTCTCCATCTTCGTTGCCTCCGCTTGCAACGGTGTTACGTTCGACTCGCGTACCTGCTCTTCCGTTTTATTCTTTTGTACTTTGTCTTCCAGTTTTGTCTCTGTTTTTTGTCTGGAAACAACGTGCTTGTATCTTTGATCGCTCATCACTTTCAACACGTCCGACCAGTCTAGTTCCTCGTCGCTGTGGCATGTATCGGTAAGCAATGAAAAGACGGTGTCACCTTGTCTTTCCTCGTCGTGCATCGCGCTCTGAGCGTCGCTCTTCAACACGGACGTTTCGTTCGCTCTTCTCTCGTAAACCTTATTATCGTTTAGATTAGCGTTGGTAGTGTTGCTAGTGTTTGTAATTGAGGCCGATATTTGGGCAGATCTTTGTCTAGCTCTTGCTCTGGCTGCGTAACCTCTGGTGCGAGGTCTGCCTCGACCGCGTCTAAAAATACCACGCGTAACTTTTGGAGCGCGATCTTGAATCTGTTGCAGTTGCAGTTGCTCTTCCTCTTGTCCTTTCTCTTTTTCCTTCTGCTCGTTTCTCATGTGCTCGCCTATCGAACGTAGTGGTTTTCTAGGTGCGTTGCTCGACCGTGTATTTGGAAATACGTGACGCAGTGTATTGTCTGCTACGTAAATTTGTTGAAAAAACTTGAACGACTGTTCCAATTTGTCGACGCATTCGTCGCACATTTTTGTAGGTAAGTCATCTTCGTCGTCGATTTCTATCAAAAGTTTCAGTTTCGACAGAAGGCTCATATCTGTGCCTTTTCCCTTGGTCGTCATACTTACAAGATTCTGTTTCTTGGTCGCGCATGTTCTACACCATTGATCCACTTCAAATTCTGAAGGAGCATTTTTCTCTGCAGCCTGATCCGTGGTTACTCTCTCCATAGAACTTTCTTGGCCGTTTAATTGAATTTTCTGGAATTTCATGGAACTTTAGATAGAGTATATGTGATGCGACGACGTGTATGTAGTTGCTACAATCATTTGTCGTGCGTGAATGTCGTTTTCTCTTGACTAGATACTGATATCGTTGATAATGTTATCAACAATGCGGTTATCAACAGATCGACGATAACAAAAAAAAAAAAATAACAATAATAATAATAATAATAACCTTACGAGAGACAATCGGTAATAGTCGCGGTAATTGCGCGTTAAAAGCTTGACACTTAAAAAATTTAAGAAAAGCACAACACAGAAGGAAGAAATGCAAAACGGGAAAAGATACTTACGCGTCGTATTTTCAAATTTCTCAATGTCCTCGAAACAGCACTCCAATGCGGAGAAGGGACTGCATTTTCTTTTAGAGTGCCTTTACTGAGATAGCAATCTTCCGTAAAGTGATTATTGCAGATGAAAAACTTCATAGACCGTAAAACATCGAGATCACTCCCAATTAGGTCCACGTGACCACTGTTGATCAACCACCTCACACAGAGACCGGTATCGCAAACGGGAAGTTCGTGAAGTATTTGCTCCTTTTCCCGTATGTCGACACAATCGATGTATCTACATTTCGTTACTTCCTCCATTACTCGAGATCTCAAACAGCTCGCTAAGTAACGGGAGGAAAGATCGAGCAGTTTTTGTATTCGGACAAGACTTAGTTTTTTCCTCGAAAAAAGTTGAAAAGCTTTGTATATTTAAGATAGGTTAGGTATATTTAAGGCGCGAAAAGCAAAACTAGTGAACGTGCCTGCCATCTCTCGATACCTATTAATAACATTGTAGATGGACTACGTTGGGTTTATCCTTTTTCAGCTGCGTGTACGTAGATCTGTGTTGGCCCTGTAGTATATGCGTGTGTGCGTAAAACGAATTATTCGTACGTATGCCCTTCATTGTTGCGCATGCAGAAATTCAAGTCGGTCAACGAAGCACCATCCACATCGAGACGAAAAGAAACAATAAGAACGAATTCGAAGTAGAACATTATAAAACATTGAATGACAAAGGCAGTTTGTATAATATTTTCCAAATTTTCGTTAATGATTATATGTAATGCAGTGAAGATTTATTAACGGGTACAAATGCGGAATGCATAGTTTTCAAGCATATTAATCAGCAGCTTTTATTTCAGACAAGGAAATAAACTAAAACTTTAAGGAATATTTATCTCACACTGTATATTTTTTTAATAAATATTATACATATTTGCATTCAACTATTATATGGAATTAATATGATTAATCTGATGACAAATTACAATTTATAAATCCATGTACGTGAATGGTTTATAAATATCAATTGATATGTACCATATATGCGATATTAAATAGGGACAATAGTTGGGAACAGGCAATAACTTATTAATAACTTTATTTGATTAAATAAAACTCGAAACTTATTTCGCATTCTACGTTCATGAACAATTTTAGTAAAAATTTTAAATGTAACATGTAGAAATGAAATACTGTCAACGCCATTGTTCCCATCTATCGAACAAAATTTACAAATTGTGGCACGTGCATTATATAGATTAAACGAGATAAAGAAGAAAAAACGAGTCTAATTCAAAAGCCACAATTATACAAAAGTTGATAAATTAATTCTTTTGACTGAATTTCTTGCAGGTAAAAATTTAATCGGTTTATGGACGTTCAAACAGTAGCGCCGTGTAGTGACAAAACGATGGAATTAATCCTTCGTTTCGACATTGTAATATTATAAAGTATAATAAATTTTACGTGTAATCGTAAATATTTCTTCTCTCACATTTTGAAGCAGACACTATCGTGCAAAAATAAATCTCATCTATGTTTTGAATGTAGTTTGCAAGAATTTAAATATCGTACCATGTATGTATATAGATAGTAATATAGTAATATAGTAATATAGATTTAATGAACAGAATTTCTAAATCTTTACGCGTACGTCTTACAAGTCTGGAATATGGGTAGAAACTTACAATTAGTCGGAACGTCCAATTGTAAAAGTTCACAAATTAATATTCTAAATTAATTTTTTTTATAAATGAAAATTTGATAGATTTATGAACACTGAAACACTAGCGCCACGTTGTGCGCCAATTAGTAGAATGAAAATAAAAAAATCAATCAAATTTGTTCAAGTTCTTGAAGTAGTTATTTAAAGTACAAACTCTTAGAAATCATCTCTGTACATTATTATTCCGATTTGCTATGTAATTAACTAACGACATGCCCTATTTTCGACATAGTGGTCTAAATAATTTGTTGATAATCATTGGTAAAAAATGTCGACAACTGTGTAGTGCCGATATTTGTCAACAGATGGCACCACCCTACCCAAACAAAAAAAAAAACAAAAAAAAAAATCATTTTGCATTAGTCATAAAAAAAACCTAATTAAGAAGATTAATTTGTCAAATGTCTGCATAAAGATTTTGGCAATAGATCAAAATAATCTTTCACTAGTTCACACTGTGTTCGAAATGTTTGATAAAATTTGTTTTCGCGATTACAATTGATTGTGAGACGGTCAGCTTTGAAATACATATCGTAATATATCGTAACAAAATAATTAGTTACGTAGACTGTTTCAATGTCGATAAATCGATTAAATTCTCATTTGCAAAAAATCTTGTAATTGTTGCTTGTAAATTAGATTCGAAGCCTTTTCTCCAGCTTTGTCTCGTTTAATCTATCAAACGCACGTGTCACAATTTGCAAATTTTGCTTGACAGATGGAAAGAATCGCTTTGACAGTATTTAATTTGCACATGAAATTTTTATTAAAATTGTTCGTGACTCTTTATTTAATCAAATAGTTATTAATAATTATTGCAGGTCCCTAACTATTATACTTGCGTATCTAACAAAAGTGTTACAAAAGTGTACTTATCAATCGTTATTTATAAACTATTTACGTTACTTATAAACTCTAATTGATCATGATTTATAATATTAATGTACAACATTTATTTAAAAATATGTGCAGTAGCAAATATGGCACACATAATTCCTTAAAGTCTTTTATTTCCTTTTCGTTTGACATACAATACAATCCAATCGCGTAACGAGTACATATATGCATCCGCATACGCACAACAAAGAAAAGTTGAAAAAAATATTTAGAAACATTTAGAGTTGCAAATATAGATATCGGATGGTATGTATATTAAATCCGAGAGAAAGTAATTAAAGAAAAAAATTAAAGAATCGATTAAAATTGAAATAATTAGACGTGATCGCTTGCCTCGGAAATTGCAAAGTATTTTACTTTGTAACCGTCAATTTGAAATAGACGTAGAATTTTATACATAAGGTATGTCGTGATATTTTTTAAAATGTATCGTTCATGCTTTCGTCTTTTCTTAAACTTGGATATATTTAAAAATTATTAATATTACGGCCAACGCATTACGACGACCGACGATCGTCGTAATCCAGACTGACCAAAATTGCAAATTTCTCTACGCGAATTTGTTCATTCAATGATCCAATTTTAAAGAAAGTTCTGCTAAAAAGTTTGTCTGTGACTTTTCAGTAAAAGAAATAACTCGCAGAAACGGTTACCAAATAGCTTGTGAAAAAGTAACGAAACGATTCGCTTTTATCGGTATAAACACAAATTTCATCTTCGATACCAAACTTTTCAGTTTTAAGATTGGACAATTTGAAGCTTTTCAAGCTCGGCACTTGAACACGTAGTACCTACATACATATGTGTGTACACTTATTTTTATTTAGCGTTAATAATTCGCTCTTCATACAGCGACCTTTGGTCTGTCGTTCGTAGTACGTACATAGTAGTATGTATGTATGTATGTAGTTGGCAATGGCAGCAGAATAATTCGGCAAATGCGATTGTGAAAAAAAAAAAAAGAAATGATACATAGTCGTACAGAAATTACAGAATTCATGACTCGTATTGATAATAATTGCATGTCGTTGCATGTATAAATCGCATGCATATATTTAGTTTCTGTAGTGTAATGTCTTACTACTCGAATAAATAGATACTCTGATTGTGAGTGGCGAAGCATTGTTGCGCACGAACACGGTGAGAAAATGAAAAGGGCCAAGTAAAATTGGAAGTAAAGATCAAAGCTGTTCCGTGATACCGTAATCGCGTACCGTAACTAAACTAACAACATATGTACATACTTGGGGCACATTCGGGTGATGTTCGTTCCAGTATTGGGATTAGCGAGCGAGCGCGCGCGCTCGCGCGTTACGATCGACAGACGATCGAAAAATACTGAGGGCAGTCGGTCGCGAGCTTTGCGGGTGATGAACATCATCACACCATCGGTTAACTGGAACTTTGACGATCGCGTTGGGAACGATGGTTTCTCAAAGAGTCTTTACGTCGATTGAAAAGTCGTGTTGAAAAGAAGGGAAACATCGGGGAAAATTAGATTAGAAAATCGCGGTAGATCACGTACGCGGCGCGTGATAGGAGACAATAAGAGGGGTGGGGGTGGGGGGGTGTGGAGGAAAAGTGGTAGAAAGAATAGGCAGAAAGAAAGGAGTGGCAAGGGAAGGAAAAGAAGAAGAGAAGGGAAAGAAAGGAAGAGAAAGGGGCGGGAAAGGAGAAAGAGAAGGTGCGGCGCGATCCCGAGCGCGGAAAGACGCATGGAAATAGGAAGTAGCGATGCAGCGTCTCTGTACGATTGTTCGCTTTAACGTGACCTTGTTCGTTTTAATTTGTCACTCGACCAAGATCGGCGGTGAGAAAATGGAGAGAACGGAGGGTTCGTTCTGCCGTCCATTCCCTGGGATCGCTTTCGAAGGAAGTAAGATCGACAGATTGGAGAACGGAAGTTTATTGTACGATAAATTGGTGTACCCTGCCGGATCGTACCGAGCATTCGAAAACAAAACGTACGGATGCATATGCAATTTGCGAACTTGTCTGAGAAAGTGCTGCAAGCGAAACGAGATTCTGGGGAAAGGCGATCGGCCAAACTGCGTTCGTCTGTCGAACGGATCGTTTGCTCCCGATCTCGTTCTCGAGCAGCATCAACTCGCTACCGAGTGGATTGAAGGAACATCCGGTCTGAGCAAGCTGTTCGTTCTCGTGGAGGATATGCAATGTCCTGAAAATATGTCAAGGTACATGCTCGAGCCGGAACGTTACGACGATGACGCATTTGTTCTGCAAGCAAACGGTACTCTTGAAACCGTGGCTTACAAGTTTGCAGCATGGAATTATTGTCTCGACTGGAAAGAATCTTTCGAAAAGGTGGTCGCCCTGGTTTGTTCGTCCGATTCGTCCACAGTAAATAGTTCTTCAGATCGAGAGGAGTACTTCGATGTTGGCCTCGTTGTTTCCATACCGTTCTTTTTCGCGACTTTCTTCGTCTACGCGATCATCCCGGAATTGAGAAATCTCTATGGAAAGACTCTAATGTGTTACGTGGGTTGCTTGATACTCGCCTACACTTTTCTCGTCTTGGCCAAATTGAATTATCTCAAATTTATCTTCTGCTCTACGATAGGTAAGCAATTTCATTTTACCCTACTCCTTGCTTCTTCTCTTTCTTTTTCTTTCTCCCCATGTATCTTTTTCTTTCCCTCTCACCCCCCCCCTTCTCTCTCTCTCTCTCTCTCTCTCTCTCTCTCTCTCTGTCTTTCGTCTATAAAAGTCCGCGTTAAAGTCGAAATTACACAAAGAAATTGTGTAGATAAATAAATAAGATTGTGAAATTTTCTATTGCACATTGATTGCTTACGTGTTACATACTTATATAGATGCGTATCCAATTCAAAAAAGTTGCGATACATGTTTCTCGTGAAATTTTCAACTGTTTCAAATCTTGAGACTCTGAAAGTCTCAGGGGCAAATGAAACGGACTCTACCGCTTTCATCGATATTTATCGAAATACGTATTTACGTTTTCCATGTTAGTAATTAATTTAGATTAATGATATTTAAAGATATTTTAATATCGTTTACATACGTATAACGCAACTATAATATCAAAGTATTCAAAAGATAAAATGCAACTATCGTTACACGATGATAAAACTGCAATATATTCTTGGAATACTTAAACAAATAAATATCGACGTTGTACATATTAGCTGTGCTCAAGAGACGATACGGATCCGCCAACAGTAAATGTGTAATTCGTACGCGATCGTTAATGGTTTAATAATTTGAAAGATATTCATCGTTTCGCTACATCGTGGTGATCGTTGAAGCGTGAAAGTGCATCATTCTCGTTCGAATCTTATCTTTCGTTTGTAATGACATCGAGTCCATATTGTTTTTCGCAATCGAAAAACGTAGACAGTATCTGACGTTAAAAGCGACGACAACGACAACGACAACGACAACAGGTTGCCCGGAAAGAAATTGTCAAATTTGGTTGACATTTTAATCACCTTTCGAACTTTGCATGCCAAGTTTTATTCTGAGAAAAGGGGGAAAAATTTCGCGTTGTATCATAGCTTATTTGTTTATAGATCTAGAGGCCGTACAATGCCCTAATGTACTTATAATGTGATTAGTTTTCCGAAAATTAGCTGAATTTGACTCAGTTTTCGAATTTTTTGTTCTTTCGTTAATAGACAAACGAAAAGACATAAAATTTAATACATAGTTTAAAAGAAATTTTGATCTTTTTTTTAGACAAATTTATTTATGACTATGTTTGATCAGAGAATGAGAGAAAACCTATGCAATATTGTCACCTTTGAGCCTGTCATTTTTTTTTTTTTTTTTTTTTTTTTTCGATCGTCAAACCTGATTAAATTTTTTTTTCCTTCTTTTTTATTTCTATCTTTGATAAATGGTCAGTGTATGTTGTATTTATTTTTTATCACATACCATATGCTTGCCTCTGCTCGCCACCTCTCGCCTCACCTCGTTTTCACTCGTCTAATGAAAATTTGTCCCTCACTTTATCTCTTATTTATCTTGCTTTGCTTTACCCTCCCATTATGACTACTATTCCATACCTATTCATCTACATATATATCTGTAATAATCTGCAATGTAAGAAACATTTATTATGTTTTATATATGTATATAAGAGAGAAGTAGGCGAGAAGTAAGTAAGTAAGTACTTTGAAGGGTTCATAACGGCTTCTTTCGCCGAAACATGAAAAAAAAGTTTTAATAAACATGGGTGGAAAAATTAGTAGTTTCAAAGTTACAAACGACCTTCCGTTTCGGTTGAAATCGGCTTGTGAAAAAGTTGGAACATGCTCGGGAATGTTTGAAAGAGTACGTAGATTCTTTAATTTAATTTAAGAGTCGAAGATGTCGAGCATAGAAATGGAAGGTGGACACGTAGAAAACCTCCTGTAATCAGAAAAAGTAGAAATTATAAGGTAAACCACTACTTACACACACATATACAGCGAAGAAGCTCCTTTCTTCAATCGAAACAAAAGATCGTTTATAACTTTGTAACTACAATGTAAGTTACAATCGATGTTTGTTGGAACATTTTTTTTTTCATATTTTCATGGCAAGTACTGTCTACCTTTCTAAACTAGAAATTACGAACCCTTTTTATAAATAAATAAACCCTGTATATAAAAGCCACGATCAGATATAGTGTTTTATTATCGCTTTGTTTGCTGGTATATATATATATATATATATACGTAATTTTGATCATAACGAATATCGATTATTCAATAACGAAAGATCAAAGATTCAATATTTCCACATGTTGTTCATTATCGACCGAAGATTTAGCTGCGACAGCCATTGCATTATAGGCTATAAAAGAGGAGAATCGTACGAGAAGGAGAGGAGAAAGGAGATGGAGCGTCCATCCAATTTACGGACCAGTCGTAAAAAACACAACGAGAGTTCCTTCCATTACGTCCGTAATGGAATACAGAAAATTATCGAATCGTAATTTTCAACAGACAATTGTTGTCTAGTTTTCATGTTCCAATAGTGTGTAAACTGTCTGTAAACACACCGGACGAGGAGCGAAAATTCACATTGCCGTAACTGCTTCATTGGCACAATTGTGAAATCAATTTTTTTTCAAGCGATTTATAATCTCGAGCGGAGCACATATTTGAGCTTTGCATGTATATATCAATGAACAAGAATAAGAAATGAACAAGAACGTATATATAATAAATCAAAATGAACGCTATCGATATAAACGACATGTAGTTTGACGATGCATTTGTCCCGATGTTATTGTTCCGAACGTTGTTTGTGCATCGATGATGCGTATGCGATAAGAATAAATGTCAATGAGAAGCTAGGAAAAAAGACGAGTAGTGACAGTAATGCGAATCTGATTGATTATTTTGGACGGATTGAGAACGCATTTTTAAACGGAGAGGCATCTCTACGCGTGTACACACACACACGTATTGACCGAAAGTAAATAAATAAATTCGTATAGCGTGCGTGCGTGTCGATGAGTGGTGGCATGTAATATGGAGTGTAATATATCATAGTACAGAGTGTATCTCTCTCTTTGCCTCTTTGCCTCTCTGCCGTTCTTCCATTCCGCTTCTTAGGCTTCTTTTCAGTTCCGGACGGTGTACGTACGTGTGTACGTACATTATAGTTGGTCGGCTACAACGTGACGCGAGCACGAGATCGTTGTAGACATTGGCAATCGTTTTGTCATTTCCGCGTAGCGCGATAATGCCTGCGGTCATTGCAAATCCGGACGACTCACGATAAATACATAGTTGCTCGACGAAAACGTACCTACCAAGATGTTTCGCACCATCGTGATCGGGCTTATCGTCGTATCGACGACAGTCGCGATAAACGCGACGCAATCGTCTCCGCGACTCGACGATACAATTGCTCCGATTGCTCGTCGGGATTTGGTTGAATCGGTCGTCGAAACGGACGATGGTGAATCAACGACGGTGAGGATGGACAGTGACGACGAGACATATGCATCGAGACGTATGCTAGCCGGTCCGAGCGAGGATATCGAGGAACGGAGAAACGTTTCCACGATGCCGAGTAGAGGAAACAGGACCGACGATGATGGGACCGTGGATCGAACCGGCCCTCAAGCCGATCAAGGGAGAACGCGTCTACCATTGTGCTGTCAATACGGATATCGTTTGAGAAGGAATCGTTGCATCGAAACGAACGGCACGTTTCGCTACCCGGCCCTTTACCACGCCGACGACTTAACGTTGATCGACGCAGCGCCGAATCATCGACTCGGCTATTTCCATTTGTTCGTCCGGGATCCTTGCGTCGATCGTCAACGCTACAAACTCGTCCCGGACGAGAATCCGATCGATGCGTTTATGCTTCTCGACAACGGTTCGATCTACATGCAAAACGAGGGTAACATCCTCCGGGAGACCGATTACTGTCTCGGCATCGTCGATACCGAATCGTTCGACGTGGTCCTTTGTTTCGATACGGACGAAGAGTCGGAGAACAATGAGGGTGTGAAACTCACGGTGATATTCCCCGTCGGATTGATCGTGTCGGTGCCGTTCCTCCTCGCCACGTTCATCGTCTACACCTTGATACCGGAATTTAGTAGAAGCATGCATGGTCGCACGCTTCGTGGATACGTTGGTTCTTTGGTTGTTGCCTACGTGATACTCGCGGTCGTACAGATCTCTCCGCAGGAACAGATTTCGGATTCCCTCTGCATCGTGTTTGGTACATACACACACGATGCATATAATACGCGTGTTTTCATCGATTTTCATCCATCCATCTACTACTAACTAACGTCACCACGTTTTAACGTTGGCTACGCGTCGCCAACTACACTCGTGTTGCAAGATTAAAACACGATTATTCGTTATTCACACGTTACATCACAGCCATTCAACGCTTCAGCGTCCAATCCTTTGGATCCTTGTTGGAGCGCAACACGTGTGTATTCCCACACTTATCCACATCCGTCGTGCGTTTCAATCTATCTTTTCGTTATACGTACGTAGATAGATGTTAGATGTACGTGTATCATATCGTAAATTGTAAATTATAAATTACAAGTACGTACAACTTACGTAATTTATACCAACGTGTTCACCGAAACTCGTACGTAGTACGCTCGTTCCTTTCATTCGCTTCGCCGCTCAATTCGCTTTTTTTACGCTGCTTTAACACGTAACGTCACAAACGCATTACCTACCTACTTAAATCGAATTTTTGTTTCAGCGTTCATCATCTACTTCTCATTCTTGGCTAGTTTCTTCTGGCTGAACGTCATGTGTTTTGATATTTGGTGGACGTTCGGGTAAGTGAAGGTTTCTCATCCTTGAAACGTACATGTGTTTGTTGGTACACTGACTCTTTCGCTGTCTCTTTTCGCTCATCTCTCGCGCTTGTTTCTGCTTCCGACCGCTCGATTCGATTGTAACAAGTTCAATCAAGGCTGCTTAATTGTTAAAAGCCGATACTATAATCAACGATATATATAATCAACTATAGTGCCAAAATGACACTGTCACTTACCTATCACTCTTCCAGCTGAGGCAACTCGATAGCTGACGAACGTTGAAGGAAATTAATAGCGACATAAACGCGAATTAATATCCGCTTTTTTTCTGACGACACGTGTACACTTTGCAAACATTCTTAAATTAAGTTCGATCGGTCCACGTAAACGGCTCCTTTCTCTCGAGTACGTAACGTGTCTTTTCTCCACTTCGATCGATCGATCCAATCATCATCATCATCATCACAGAGACTGCCCGCCCCCCCCCCCCTTTCCTCTTTTTCAGACCATTACGATAATTGGCTGTGGCAGTAATAATTCACAATTGAACGAACACGTATCGCGTTCGTTAATTTTGATAAATATTGAAACGATGTACTTGGATATCAGAAATGTCAGACGTGTATATCTGTATATTCATCTGTATCTGTATACTGCAATTTATTGATACATGTTTCCCCATTTCTCTATGCCACGAAAAAAAACGACAATAACGAACGTAACGGAGCAAGCGAAATCGCGTTTATACAGATCGAGAATAACGCACGCGTTGCGTTTACCTTTATTTATCGAATTGAATTCTTGCAAAAGTACAGAAGCTACTTACAATACGATACTTACCGTATTTGCAAAGTATAGCAGATGTATAGCAAACAAATCGTGACGTATCCTTTAAACAAACCCCGAAAGCTCGAAAGCTGGCGATCGGTTTTTTCATCCGAAAACGTTAACGCCGACGCCACACCGACGCCACATCGACGCTTTACCGACGCTTTACCGACGCCAAATCGACGCCAAATCGACGCCACACCGATTCCACGCTAACGTTACACCAACTCACATCGACATCACACCTACATCACAGTGTAAACACTCGATACACGAACGACTATTGTGCTATGTGTGCTACGTGTGCGCCCGCAATGCCGGTATTTTGCAACTACTAAAATCACGATAAAACACAAAGTTTAAACGAACGTTAGTTTCAGCGTGAAAAGTAACATCGATAAATGACCTGTGCAAACGGTTTCAACACATTGCTCGCAATATGTGTAAATGCACGAGTAATGTAGATTATTTTGCTACGCGACGACGTTTCAACGTTTGAATTTCCTTCTCTGTTGGAAAGAAATTATTTCGCATACCGACACTACTAACGTACAATATCGTTACGATATCGTCTCAGCAATTCGAGTCGGTTTTTTTTTCAACGAAATCGCGCATGATGTATTGGTTATATCGGTATTTTTAAACGTTCCACGAATAGAATAACGTTTCAAGAAGAGAATCGCGTGACGAGAAATGTCGCGCCCAAAAATTCTGAGCAGCAAACATTTCAATATCATTGCACGTGTAATTATTAATACAACGAATGGAAAACATTGTGTTGGTGGTACGTACAGTATACACCTATGTATGTACGTGCCAAGCCCTTTTTATTACACACGTAACTGTGTAAATACACAATAAATAAGTAAGTAAGTAAGTAAATAAGTAAGTAAGTAAGGGAAGGTGTGTGCGAACATAATTAAGGGCGTGACTACGCAGTGCGTTTCGCGTATCCATATCATCGCCGACTATTCGACGACCTCGACTCCTATGACACGATTATAGACGTGCGTGCTTACTTACGTGCACGGACATCAGTCACCATCAACCACAAATTACGTCCACGCCTAATTCAAACGATATATCCGTAATGCTCTCTCCTCCTACGCTATCCTTTTACAAGTACGTATCTCTTACTCATCTATACTAATTACTTCCTCTCGACAAAATTAACTCGTAAACGATTCTACGTTCGATCGTTGTTCCAGTTGGAACTTTTTCTTTCTTTTTTTTTTTTTTTTTTTTT